CTCTTTACCAGTCTTATCATTTACTAGCGAGTTAAAGGAGTGTGTCGGCCGAGGGCCGAACCCTGGACCAGTTGCGTGGTTGACGGGCATTCTACCGCTGTTCCACCAACGCACGTTTCGGAATAAGGCAAATCGTTATTATTATTATTGTTAGTTCCAGGGGAAACTAGATATTCACAGAATTCCAGACGTACTATCGAATGTTACCAAAGACCATAGAAAAACTTGTTCATATTCAAATTCATAGTTATTTTTATTTCAAGATATCATCCTTGTGCCTACTATTTCAATGGATCTAATTAGAAAAGTATTTAATTTACATAAAATAATGACAAGTTTACTCTCTCTCTCCCTCTCGAAAAGCCTTCCAGATTTGACACAACATTTTCACAGAATTATCAGGTCTGATTTATTTAATTTGCGATTCGCTTTGAACTCAGTTCAGAGTCAAGTAGTACTTACAAGGCTGATCGATGTGATTTAAACACAATGCGGCCGTTTCACTCATTTTGGATCGAGGTAATCATCTATGTAACTGGTTTGACTTAGCTCAGTGAACGCAATCAGCTCAATAGTTAGTCAGAATTTGGGTGGTTTTGAACTGATTCAACTGTCTGAGTCTAGTCAGATCCGCTGCATCTCTGATAAGATTAGCCTCAAACCAGTGAAACGGTTACCCAGTGCTTAAATCATACGAATGATTTATATGAGTGGTATCTAGCTACTCATATCAGTCAATCAGTACTATATACCATGAAACCTATTTATACATGATAAAACTATTCAACCAGGTGAACGAATGGTTAGCGGGGACTCTCTTCGTAGCTTCAGGATCCTGGATTCGATCTCTCAAGTGGTTACGGGTTAGTAGTGTCGAAGGGTTACAAAAAGGTTATTTTCATTAGAAATAATTCATAGTAAGGAGAACAGAAGTAACTTAACTTCCCTAATCTTATTAATTCCTATTCAAATGAATAAATATCTAACCTACTACTGAGACATTAAACTTGACCTTCATAGAATCTTTATCTAGCTATGGTGGATTGAGAATCGTTACAAGCTTATGCCAAATACTCATTTACATGTTCGAGCATGAATTGATAACGTTTAAAGAAGCATTGAAAAACCAGCTGGTAGTACTTGACAGTTGTCTCGACCTAGTCTGGCACTCCTCATCAGCACGTAGTGACTGCGTTTGATCCCGAGAACCTCTGGTTACAAGGTACGCTCGCAGAACATTCTTACTAACTGACTGGTTTCAAATATTTGCTACTCTTTCTCCATGTAGGACACGAAGCAAGGAGAAGGGAGTAAAGATAGATTCATAAGAGTGAGAGATAATTAAGAGAAGTGTGAGGGTAAAAGAATAGTAACATGGAAGCCTAATAGAAATTTAGTGGATATCATAAATCACGAAGAGTTAATGCATCTGCGCCAACCATTGAGAAGGATTTTGAGCCATCTTACCACCAACTGTCTCTAGCCTTCATTAGCCCTTACCATTCTGAGGCCAGACTGGCAGTTTACACCTCCATATGAGTCTGGTTTAAACTATCTGTCATGAATTTCATTGACTATTGAAGCTATGTTTTGTTTTGACCATCAATAGCTCTTTTTCAACCTTATCATATGTCAGCTAAATCTACCCGTCGAGGAGAGCGACGCCTAGTCATGAGTAACACATATTCTGCCCATATCAACCGACGTATCCACTTCATAACCTCCTCGATCGATTTTCCCTCCTTATGTAGCAGTGAACGCCTAACCACAGCATCGCCCACTCTGCTGTACCATCTAACATGAGAGATAGAACTCATAAACTTATGATCGGAGACATCTAGCCAGCCTTTTTCATATCTTTCATTTCCTATGACTATGTCTCACTCACAACTATAAACAAGGATGAAACAAAGTGCTGAGCAGCACACACGTCCTATGATTGACCATTCAGTCACTGGGATCCTATCCAGTAGCCCATGAACAGTGCTCTTGTCCACGCCAAGTAAAATACAAAGTTGCATCATCCTAGAGAGAATAAAGGATGCATTATATACAAAATTCCGCCACCCGCCGGTACAAGCTGGATGGATTCAGGAAAGGCGGATCATATGCTGATCAAATTGCAAATCTACGCATCATCATCACACAAGATTGTATAGAATGGCAGTCACACCCCTCTCCTCCTCAACTTCATCGACTTCGAAAAAGCCTTCACCAGACAGCGTTGACCGAGAAGTAATTTGGAAACTGCTTCAACACCACGGTGTGCAGTGCCCAAGTCTTTATCAACCTCATTCAACAGCTGGCTATATGACAATGCCACTTGTCAGCTAGGTAATCCACAACGGAAATCTCAGAGAGCCTTTCGAGGTGGAGAAAGCAGTAAGACAAGGCTGCCTATTATCCCCGATCATATATATAGTTTTGATGGACTGAATTAAGCGTCAGACTGTGGGGAGCAAGGAGACAAGAGTGCGCTGTATCATCGATGAGAAGACTCTAGAAGATCTGGATTTTGCAGATAATTTATGTCTAATTTCACATAAACTCGAAGACTGGTAGATGAAAACCAACAGACTGGCTGAAGAGGTGAGGCAGGCAGCGAAGACAGCAATCCAAGTGAACATAGAAAAGACGGAGGTGATGAGGTGATAACCAACGAACCGTAACAACAGCAACAACAACAACCAGCATTAATCACCAGTGGTGGGGGAGATTTGACCGAGGTTACTTCCTTCACTTATCTGCTGAGGAAAGCACGGTTTCAACCACCAGCACACGGCAAGAATGAAGATGTGAAAGTCAGAATCGGATGAGCAAGATACGCCTTCATCAACTTGAAACCAGTCTGAAAATCGTTTCCTGTCACTCAGTATAAAGAACAAGATTCATATTTTCAACACAAATGTGAAATCGGTCTTTCTATACTGGTCAGAAACTTTGCGTGCATGTCACAAAAATGATTTCGAACAAATTACAGACTTATCAACAGCTACCAGCTTCGCTGGCTCCACAATGAAGATCAAATGGCCAGCCGGTCAGAAAGAATTAGCAACAAGAAACCTTCGCTAGAAACAAAGCAACCAAGAGCCGATCACTCAAAAAATAGGTAGGAGGATATAGAGATGCATTGATTGGGCATACGTTGAAGAGGCCGTCGACTGACATCACACAGCGGGTCATTTTCTCGACTGGAATCCCAATGGCAAGTGACAAGTGGATCGCTGGTGTGAAGGTGACATGGAGGAGATGAGAGATTTTGGCCGATGAAGAGGGTGGCAGAAAAGAGAAGAAAGTGAAAATGTGTTGTTGAAGCTGTATGTTCTATCGGAAACCATGGTAATAATAATAGGTGACCGTTACAAAGGATGGCAAAGCAATAGTCAGTCTACTCCAATTCTTTCCCAGGCTTGCGATAAGAAGATAAACTCATCAGGAGGACTAGAAGAAAAGTCTCTAAGTTTGTAATAACAAGATGCTTGCATAAGATATCGCATAATATTCCATTTACAAATCCTAATCAGCAGCTCATATATCACAGCAATAGTTCTCTGACAGACTCATTTTTAGAATAGAGTTTTGCACAAAAGTGCACCAGTTCAGCTTCATACACTTCCTCCATATTGTTCCGAATGACAGAGAAAAGAGAGAGATATTCGGGCAGGACTTCGAGACTGCTACGCAGTTGAGTGGTGTTCAGGATCCGTCAGCGATGAAGCTGTTACTTGGAACGCTGCTTGAAGGTTGGCCGACGGCAATATATGATAGTGTGAGGCGTAAAACTGGCGAATACATGCCAGGGTCATGCAAACTTCTCCCAAAGTGAGAAGGATCATATATGGTCACCGTGAATGGGGTCGCGTATATACCACCAGAAATGCAAAGAAAGAGGAGCGAGTGAACGTCAGCGAGCGCAGGAACTCAAAAAGCAAGACAAGCCAACAAAGCCACCAGCACCAAGAATATCCAACCAACTTCAGTTGAAAGTTTTGACGGGGAGACGAGTGTGATGGTGTGATACGGACAACGTCTGCGAATGGAATGTTACGCTCACATATTCCCACAGTTCAATATTGCTTACAATATATCTGTTTGAACATTCAATTTGATGTTAGAGTCGGAATGTTATTCCCACAGTTCAATGCTGCATTGGCAACAGAATACAATGTATGTTCGAACAGTCTATTTGGTGTAAACCGAAATCACGTGTTCAGTGATTGGTTAACGAATATAAACTGTAGATATATAAACAGCGGTGTGATTAATGAAAATATACCTTGGCTACCGTGTCTTGTCTTCTGTCGTTACTTGAGAAGCTAACGAAATAAATGATGGTACCATTTTATTCTGAAAACTCTGTTGTTCTTGCTTTATTCAAATTCATAAAGGGGAATAAATGTATGAAATTTGAATGAGCTTTAATAATCAGCAATATACGAGAGTAAGAATAGTATGATGCAGAAAAGTGAAGACTTAACTGATTCTAACATCCCGGGGACCCCCAACCGGATAGTTCACACCTTCGTATGAGGCTAGCTCAAACTAACTGTCAAAGACATCATGGACTAATCCCATATTCTAACTTGACCCCACACCTTAACTCTTTTCAAATGTAAACATATTTCAGGTAAAATTCTTCGAAGAGGAAGGTGTCGGCTTCGAATAAGCAATATTTACAACTCCCTCGATTGATTTAACCTTGTTACCTAACAGTCTACGTGTAACCTCGATGTTACTTACAGTGTTATGTCAATTAACACGAAGGAAAGATCACAAATATCTATGTTCAAAGATAGTTAACCCCTTCAGCTCTTCCACTTCAAATGACCATGCTATATATCCATACAAAAGGATATAGAGAGAGCTACTGAGCAATGTGCACCTCCCTAGGAGGTTCCCTAATTAGTCATAATAGAAATGTTAAAAGATGAATTCAGCACAGAATGACGTATAGAAAATAATATTTTTTTAATATCTCGAAAAACACAACTTCAACCAACCTTCTTGTAAGTAATCCATCTTTAATATGTTGTTTATACCTTTCCAAACAACAGGTAATATTGATTTTAAATTATTGATTTTTCTATGAATTTCCTACATTTCAACTTATCTTATTATTATTACTGTTGTAAGATTATTATAATGCTGGCTGCATATAGAATACCTTAAATGATAGAAAATGCAAGATACTGACATATGTTGCCTTCAAATCACTTGACTAGGCATGCATCAGATAATTCAGTAGAACAAAATATACAAGATCCATATTTTCCATGGTCATGGAAACCAAGACATAGACTGACTGGATTATTAAATCAAGGCGGAACATGTTATTTGAATACTCTGCTACAAACATTACTTCATACACCAGAATTTACATGTAAGTTATATGCATCATATCCATTTTGGATAATATTAAAAAGTGTAAATGTTACTTGACATAGATTTAGGTTCGTAAATGGTTGAGAGAGATCAATCCATGATTGGCAGTTTGCCCACATATAAAGTAGAAGTACTTTAGATGAATAGTAGTTTGTTTATGAGATATATCACACAGTGAAACAGTATTATTTACTGGATGACGCTTTGAGATTAATGATGGTTTTATCAGTAATAAGGATGAAAAAGTGAGGCAATCTGTGATAACACGAATAATGAAAAACAGTATGATTAAATAAACAATTGTTCAGGTGGAAGTAGTCTATAAAGGCTAGTAAAAACAAATGAACCGATTAAGTAATGTTAGATTGTAAGGGAAGTAAATGAGAAACGTTTTTAATGAAGATGTGATAATATTAAGGGAATGTTAAGAGAGTGGTTGAAAATATAAACAAGGGGTGGTGTAGAAGTCTTTAGTTAGTTATGTCTCAATAGGCCGAGGGAGGGATAATGGCTGTGCGGACTTATCTTGAATGCATAGTTTAGGTTTAATAATTCGAATGCCTATCGCCTCAGCTGTGTGTGTGCAGTAGACGAATATGAAGTCTATTGGAAAGATTTGGTGAGATACGATGAATTACTCTGAAGGTTCTCGTTTTCTCTGCTATATGACCATTATCAATTAAATGTGACAAAAGTGAGCTACGGATTGTTTTTGTCTGTCCTTTGCCAAACCACGATGGAGATGTTCAGTAGTGACACGTTGGCTAAAGTGTCTAGTAGTAAGCCCAACACAACTGTTACTACAGGTGCAGTTGAATTGATATGTGTACATAGATGTGGCAAAACTATCTAGCTTATCCTTCGTTTGAGTCCCAATCATTGGTCGGCTAGAGAGTGATAGGTATGCTGCATAAAACGTACTCCGTATACTCCTAGAAAGTCTCTGGAACAAAATCTCACTTGATAAATCACAACCATTCTTATTACACGTATTCGCAGTTGATTGGATAGGTAAAGCCTCTGTTATCAATCTCTCCCTCTCTCCACCCTGTGACATTAGATTTTAAACCTGTCAATTTATCTCATCCTGTCGTATAGTTGTGTGCAATCAACTGCAAAAGTACATGTAATAGGAATGATTCAACACATGTCCACCCAGATATCTGGGAAATTCTACTACATCAACGACGACAAATAGGAGAGAACAAAGAAAACTATAAAACTCAGATTTTGAAGTCGTGTAATTATAATTGATGAAATGATTATGAACAATAAATTTTGTTTGAAATGTCATCCGATAAATAATACTGTTTCACTCTGTGATACATCTAATAGACAAACTAATATGTACCGGAGTTCTACACATATACTTTAGATGCAGTCAGTGTACTTCACTTCAAGTTTTGATAAAGGCGCAAAGTTTATTCGAGCTCCCTTTTAGACTACACTGATGCTTTGACTCTATTCCTAGGGTATGTTTGCCTAAGAAACTGATTTCAGCAAACACTGAGTCTTGGGTCACAAGGTAGCTAGCTGTCTTCCTATTTTTTGGGTAGAAAACAACATATTGTTTTGAATGGAAAGCGCCCCACTTCTATGCTAATGGAAATTGCTATGCCTCAAGGCACGGTGTACTCTCTCCAGTCCTTTTTTCTTCCTTTCTTTTTACATGACCTTCCATATTATTCCAGAGCTAAGCTCATTAAATATGCTGATGATCTAACCATTTCTGTCCCAGTTGTTTCTTCTGCATTAGATTGTTCTTATACGAATATATTCTTATGTGAAGTTAACGAATGGTCTCACCTAAATGGTCTTAAACTGAATCCGTTTTAGCGTCATGTTGTTGATTTTAGTTTCAGACGTGAACAAGATTGGCGTGCGTGGACTGACTGATTCAGTTTCATGATTCATGTAATATTGGCGGCACTGTGATAGGGAGTAAATCGAATATATCTTATCTCGGCATCAGTTTCTCTTCAAATCTCTGATGGTCGTCTCACATCCTGTTGATTTCTAGGAAATGTTTTCGTTTGACTTAATATGCTAAGAAGTTGAGTCCTTCTGCTGATACAAATCAACATCTTCTCTTGAGGTTTATTACTACATGGATTCTGCCTATTCTTTTGTATGTTTCTCCATTATTCTTCCCTGAACTTCTCAAAAAGACTATGATGCATATTACGTAGAACTTTGAAGACTGTAAGTAGGTTTAGTGGTGTGGGTCTTTGTCTCGGCTAGCTGACATTATTGTCAATAGGCACTTTAAATCTTGCAAACAGTTAAGGGAATGTTATCTTGTCTGATACTGACCATCCTCTTTCTTGGCAACTTTTCTTTGCATATCTTTGGAGGATGACACTAGAAGTAAATCCATAAGAATTTACGCTCGTACAGCTATTAAAGATAAAAATTCTACCATACCACCATATTAGGCATGGGTTTTATGTGAAGAGGAATGAATGTCAAAAAAGAACTTGTAAACTTTTTAAATCAGTAACAGTGAACTGCAAATTACAAGCAAAAAGCACTATTATTACATGTGTTGTCTGTGATACAATCTCCTTGTACTTCATTATGTTTCTGTCAACATTCTGTTTATAGTGGTGGTTTTATCATTATTACTTTTTACGAGTTTGACCATAGATTGATATCAGTTAGAGAACCATTGAAAACCAGCACTGGAGTATTGAACAGCTGTTTCATCCTAGTGCTTGGGAATCATATGCTTTACATTCCCATCGGTTGGTGGTCAAGCTAAATCACGAATTGGTAGAAGTTAGAATTCATGAGCTAGTTAGTGAATCGGGTCCCAGTGGCTGAATGCTATACGAGCTCGCCTTGTAATCGGAAAGTCCTGGGTTCGAAACCGACTCAGTGGGTGCGTGCTGCCAATGATTCCCAGGCACTAGGATGAAACAGCTGCTTAGTACTCCCTGGTTTTCAATGGTTGTCTAACATATCAATCCATGGTCAGGAGCGTAAAAAACAAATCTAATCCTTACAAACCAACTATGTACGTACATATTTCTAAAAGGAGCTAATGTAATATGTCTAGTCTTTGTTTGGTGCAGACTGAATTCTAACAGCCAGGTTTGCGATGTGGAAATCATTGTAGGCAGCTCGCCATCATGGTGTACTTTGAATTGTCGATGTTAGATGGTTAGAGGTAATCGGCAGGAAGCCCGGCTTGACTGTAGCAGTCTGTATAGAAAAGCTGAAAATTCCGTTCTGTTCCCTTGGGTTCCAGATTGGTTTCAGGTTGATGAATGTGTTTCTCGCCCTCATGATTCTCTCTCGATTTGACGTCCTTGTCCGTTCCTCCTGTAGTTGAGATAATGCTTCCTAGATAAGTGAATGAAGTAACATCTTTTAAATCCCTCCCGTGGATGGTGATTGACGCTGGATGTTACTGTTGTTGTTGGTTGGTCGTTTTCATAACCTCCGTCTTGTTCACCTATGTTCACCTGGAGTCCTGTCTTCGCCGGCTGATTCTTCGACCAGTTTGTCGGTTTTCGCTTGTAAGTCTTCGATTTTGTGTGACATCAAACATAAATCATCCACGCACGAAATCCAGGTCTTCTAGGTTCTTCATGTCGGTCCAGGATATCCGTGTCTTCTCGTTTCCCAATCACTGTCTGACGCATGATCCAGTCAGTCCACCACAATTAGGATTATCATTGGTGATAATAGACAGGCAGCCTTGTCTGACTCCTGTGTTTACTCCAAACGCCTCGCTGAGTTTTCCGTTGTGGATGACTTGACATGTGCCGTTGTCGTACAGCTGTTGAATAATGTTGATGAATATTTGGGCGCTGCACGCCATAGTACTCGAGTAGTTTCCAAATTACTTCACGGTCAACGCTGTCGAAGGCCTTCTCAAAGTGTATAAAGTTGAGGTAGAGGTTTGGTTGCCATTACATGCTTTGTTTGATGATGATGCGTAGAGTTGCAATTTGGTCAGAACATGATTTGCCTTTCCTGAATCCAGCTTGTTCTGGTCGGAGTTGTGTATCCAGTGCGTCCTTTATTCTCTCCAGGATGATGCGACTCAGAATTATTATTATTGGTCTTTTAATGTTGGTTTAAGTCAGACATGTAAAGAGGTGTGTAGACTGCCTTGTTATGGTCCCCGAGACACTAAATATCAATAGACTCAAACAATTGGCGATATGACTCAGAATTATTGTCACTGACGGAGATGCATTCACTCTTTTTGACCACTCAAATCATTTAATTCCTGATGCTTCTCCGTGTGGCTATTCTTTCCTCCGTACATTTCATCACACTATGATTCTTTTGAATTTTTCTCTATTTTGCCTACCTGTTTGTGCTGTATAGTATGTGGTAACTTGAATTACTGTACTTCTGAAACCTGGTTAAAATACTTTTGGACGTGTTTTAGGCCGGATGTTAATTACTCAGTTGAAAATATGAATCAAATATTGTAACTAGTCTGATGAGATGCTTTATTTAAGGAAAAATACATAGTTTTACATTTTTAACCACATTAAAGTTCGTCTAGGTCAGAGGAGACCAATTTGTCTGTTTTGATTGGTTGGCAATTGACCCGAGACTAAAAGCATTGTCCAGTGAGGTCATTTCATGTTCACAACGTAAAATAAATCCAGATTTGAGTAGGAACAAATGCTCCTGTGATTGGACACTAGTAACTAGTGTGATGTGTCCAGTCCTTTCTTTGATGCAGACTGAATTCTATCAGTCAGGTTTGCAATGTGGGTACCATGCCATTAGGTAGCTCGCCATCACGGTGCACATTGATTTAATGATATTAGATGGTTTGAGGCAATCGACAGGAAGTCTTGGACCTAGGTTTCGTACTATTTGGGACTCACTCGAAGGAACTCATGTCTCTTCTAAGATTCGAACTCGCGTAACCCAGTGCTGAAGTCAGAGACGTTGCCACTCAGCTATTCGGGCTCACGATTTACCTCCTGTAGGGCTGTAATGGATACTTTGATTAGACACTAGTAACCAGTGTAATGTATCTGGTCCTTTTCTGGTGCAGCCGGATGCTTCTAACTGGGCAGTCATTGACTTAAAATTTTTCATAACAATTTTGGCCACTTCATATCAATCTGCACCATCCACAGTATAAGCATTAATTGAAATAACTAAGTTGTAGTTTTCATCACAAGGTTAAAAAATAGACACCCAATGAACGTAAATGTATCACTGGTTTTGAAACCCTCAATAATAATAGCAAGACAGTGGAACCAGGTAAAATTTTAGGGGAAAATACTTTGGTGTTCAACTTCCCCTACAAACGTGGTGACTACCTTACTTTCGCTGGTAAAGTCAACTGTGCATCAAGCACTTTTTCGGAAGGTGAGAAAGGTATCATTGGCGAATATCTTCCAGTGGTCCCACAATTGAAAGTTTTAATAGGCAGAGGTGTGAGGCCGGACAATTTGTTGCTGTTAGCGACGAAGATATGACTGATTCATATACTGCCATGATAGCCTGAGTGGACGGTTTTCGAATGGATAGTTTTCGAGGGACCCTCAAAGTCATGCAACCAACCAGGCAGCGATATTCTATTTGTTGAAAACATTTATTTCCCGATACGAATTTAAAACAAGCAATAAGGGTTAATAAAGCAGATTGGGTCACAAATCCCAAAACTATACGGACGCGTAAAAATACACAAACCAGGAGCGCCGTTAAGACCCATACTCTCTATGATAAACTCACCATACCACAGATTAGCACAGTGGCTATGTGAACTGTTGCAGCCCTTGCTGAAACGTTTCGGAACACATATAGTCTCTGATTCATTTCAATTTGTCAATCAAATTAAAGATTTCAATGTATCCGATAAGCATTTAGTCTCTTTCGATGTTACCTCCCTTTTCACAAATGTGCCAGTCGTTGAAACTATCGACTTCATATGTAAAGAAGCTGAAGACATACCCATTCCAAATCGGAATTGAGGAAATTACTACTTTTATGTACTAAAAATGTCCAATTCCAATTCAACGGGCGTCTGTTCCGTCAAGTTGATGGTGTCGCAATGGGAAGCCCTTTGGGACCACTTTTCGCAGACTTTTCTTGTCACGCCTAGAAACCGGTACTTTGCAGCAACATATACAAGAAACAAATGCATACCTAAGATATGTTGATGACATTTTTATTGTCTGTGAAAGCAGATCAAAAGCGGAAGACATGTTAACAAAATTCAATCATGCCATCCAAATCTCAATTTCACAGTAGAACACGAGGAAAACGATACTATTAAATTTCTAGACGTTCTTCTGACCAAAATGAATGATGGCACAATCGAAAGATCTATATTTAGAAAGTCCTCATGGACAGGACAGTACATGCATTTCAAGAGCTTTGTTCCAATCGAATACAAAAAGAACTTAGTCAGAACACTGTTCAATAGAGCACGAAAATTTGTTCTGACAGTACTATTGAACATGAAATAAAATCTCTGAAGGATATTTTATGTAAGAATGGATATCCTGAGAAGTTCATTAATAAATACTCTAAAGAAACTACCCCTTGCAAAACAATTCAACAGTTCCAAAGAAACCTGTCTATATCAATTTGCCATTCAAAGGAGATGACGTACAGGAAGTAGTGAAACGAAGACTTGACAAAGCCATCAAGAGAACTTATTATGCTGCAAAACTTGTTATCCTTAACACCACCAAGCGAGTGCTTCAACAATCTGGGAAAGACCAGTCGCCAATCCTCGACACTTCAAACTGCATATATCAATTTGAGTGTGTTTGTGGCAGCAAATACATAGGTCGTACGGAAAGGCGATTGTCTACTCGCATGATGGAGCATTTGCCAAAATGGTTGAAAACAGCTGAGTGCAAAGTCCCAAAATCCTCAATAACAAAACATCTCGTGGATTACGGACATGATATCGACGCCGTCAAGTCATTCACCATCGTCAGCAAACAAAGAAACAAGAAGATGCTTGCAATTGCAGAGGCTTGTGCAATTCGAATTTACAAACCAGCCCTCTGTATACAAAAGGAGATGGTCGTCACTCTGAATCTACCATGGTAATACGCTTTACTTATTATTCTCTACTTGTTATTACTATTATTCTACCTCTTCTTATTATTATTTTTGTTATTATTACTATTATTATTATTATTCTTGATTCATTTAAATCTATGCTTTATCCGTAAGATTATCTTAACTCACTTCAACACTATTATTATTGTTATTAAAACTATTACTATTGATATTAGTCTGTTTGCAATTCTCGTTATATTCCCTAATGACTAATTGTTTATCTAAGTGATGTAATTGAAGCGTAATGCAATTTATCTTAATTTTGATCTCTCATACTCTCTCTCCCCTTATCTATTTGAACATGACCTGGAAAACATTCGCACCTGTCTTTCTGCATGATTAATTCAATGTAGTTTGTTTACTTATCAGTCTTATATCTCCCTATGTAATTTCAAAAGTATATATATTCGTGTATGTAGAGTATTCAGCTGACGAGTTCTACCGAAATTTGATGAATTCATTAAATGCTGCTTTATTAACCCTTATTGCTTGTTTTAAATTCTATTTGTTGTTTGAATTTCCATGGATGTGTAAATGATATATGTATATCCGATATTTTATCATGACTGTCTCAGTTAAATCTGACTTTTTTGTGTACCTCAATGTGAGGAATATTTTCAAGCGATCAGTTAGCTATGGTGTGGTGTCTGGAGGTACATTCTAGCCAGGTTGGACAACAACCAACAAATTACAAATAATAAAGTGTTGTTATGCAGGGATTTGATTAGTTACAGGATTTACCATGAGCTGACATAGGTTAGGAAACCATTAGAAAACCTGGACGTACTAGATAGCTGATTCGTCATTGTGCTTGGGAATCTTCAGCAGTACACATCCACCACCAGGGCTCGAACCCAGGGCTTGAAAGTTACAAGGTGAGGTCGTAGACCACTCATCCAGTGGGACCCAATCCAGTGGCCTATCCACGACATAGCGCGACGACTAGCCAATATCATCCGTGGCGAGTGTTTGTCCTCACATCCGACCTTCTATACCCCAATGGTCCACTGCTCCTAGATCTCCCAATAGTTCTCGAGCTGATATCAGCTCATAATGAAATCCTGTAACAAATCACTAAAACCCCGTTTTGACAAATTCTCTTACTAACATCACATTGTGATGAAATATAATCATGCTTCTCTTAATTTTTCCTTTGTTCTTCTGCTTTCTGAACAGATCGTTTATTCAGCTTGGCAAGAATTGTTGGCAAAAGAAATCTGAGACGTGTAAATTGCATAAACTTTATTGAATCAATAATTATTTCTCCCACTCTCTCTCTCCTCCCTTCCATTGTTTTTCTCATTTTCATTTCTGATGCAATAAATAGATGATACAAGAAATGCTCAATTTATTCTCTGCATTGATAACAACTAACGGTGGCGCAATCTCCTCAAAGCCATTGACAGATAGTTTTGGTTGGACAGAAGATGAAGTAAGCATCAAACTGAGAAACTTGCTTAAATTGTTTTGCGTAATGTAAAACAAAAAGCCTTAAGTGATGAATAACTTTCAGAAATGACTACCTTTCATGATTCAAGCGATTGGAAATAAGAAGGAAACTGCTCATAAGAGTGAGATGTTTGGAAACATATCTCCCAAGTATCCCTGGATGTAAACGGATGAAGAGTATCAACAGAAGGATGAAGCAGCTGTCCAGGGTTACCTGAGTTGCAGGGGTATTCGGATTGACTAGTGACTGAATACATGACGAAATTAATTTGTGGATAGTGACTAGAAGTGGAATACAGGATGTGCGTTTCGTCCTGTTTGGGACTAGCAGTCAGCTGGATGTACCCGAATTTCTCAGTGAGTGATGATGTTCCCACCGAGGCTTGAACCCAGTACCCATAGTTTCAAAAGCCAAAACGTTATCCACTAGACCACTTGGGCCAGGAGAGCCGGCTCTTGTGCAACCGGTCATATTGACTGAAGTGAATTTTTGTTTTTCCCGTCGATTGATTGGACCGAAGTGCTCAGTCTCAGGTTGACATGTCGGCTTCTTGTGCAGATGGAACATCATCCACCGAGGGAGAGGGCTCTCGAGTGGTTGCGCCACAGGTTGATCCTGCATGCCGTTCTCATCTCGCAAGAGGCAAGGATGCGTGTGTTTGGTTCTCCTGAAAACCAATACCCAGTCAATGGGTGTATCGTGGTGTGAAAGGCTGGTCGTGGTGGCGTACACCTGTAATCTAGCTACTTGGAGGCCAGGGTGCGGAATTTTGCGGGACCGGGAGTTCTGGCATATGGCTGCTCATGTTGATCGGGCGTCCACGCTAAGCAAAGCGCCGATATGGATGACCTGTCGGAGGACGGGTTGTCCAGGTCGACTAAGAAGGGGCAAACCTGCCCAGGGGGAACACCATCACTCACTGGGAAATGCAGGTACACCCAGCTGACGAGTCCCGAATAGGACAAAATGCGCATCCTGGATTCCACTGCTAGTCACCATCCACCGTTTAAATACAAGCTGAATGCCCAGACATCGGCGAAGCATCTGCAAAAGAAGCCGACATGTCAACCTGAGACCGAGCACTTCAGTCCAGTCAATCGACGGGAAAATCTCAAATTCAATAAGAGGCTTCGTATTTGGTTGGAGGATTTCATCGTGAGTTAGAAAACTATTGGGAAAGCAAATGGGAGTACTGGACAGCCAGCTGTTTTGTCCCAGTTTGAGACTCTTCGTCAGTACGCACCTACCGCCAGGGATCGAACCTAGAACCTTCTAGTTGCAAGGCTAGCCAGCCTATAGACCATTAAGCCACTGGGACTCAATCCAATGGCCAACCCATGAATTCTAACTTCTGCCAATTCATGACATAGTGCGACCACTTCGCAATGCCTTCTTCGATTAGTTACTGCCTCATCTTAGGAGTTGGAAATAAGAACGAATGAAGATGGATTACATAACAAATCAGTTTATAAGTCAGAAAAGGTTTTAGGTAGCGGTAGTAAACTGTATTCGCTTCGGCGGTACATATACTAAAATTGGAACGATACAGAGAAGATTAGCATGGCCCCTGCGCAAGATGACACGCAAAATCGTGAAGCGTTCCATATTTTTTAGTGCGTCGGTGGCACAGCGGCTACGACGCTCGCTGTCCATGCACACCGTCCAGGGTTCAATCCCCAGCCGACAAACTCCTTTACCTCATTGAGCTAGTAGTAAGACTGATAAAGAGGGAAGGTTGAGCATGAGACCGGCAACCCCATCTCGTAAAAACAAACACTACAGCTACAAAAACTTCAAGCCCTATGTTGCACTGGGAACGTAAAGGAATGAAAAAAAGTAAACCGATTTTTGTATACACAGTTCAAAGTTTCACTCATGTATAGTAAGAGCTTCCACTATGGACAGAAAACAACCACACCTCTCGAACACTGTATGTTATAGGCTCAGATACATAAATAAACTATGCAGTTGTTATCTCTGTATGTTGACGTTTCCCCGTTTATCTTTTCTCTGTTTTTTTCTCTCTCTCGTCTTGTCTTCCTCTTCTGTTTCTACCATTGAATAGGTATGTGTACATCAAGATATCCAAGAGCTGAATCGTTTATTATTTGAACAGATTGAAATCGCCTTGAAAGATACACCAGAAATGAATTTAATCAATGATTTATTTCGTGGAATTCAATGTACACGGGTAAATTACCTTTATTGTTATTATTATTATCATTGGTAGTAATAATATTAGTGTTATTAATTGCTAGTGTTAATGTTATTTGTTAGTAGTATAGATAGGATTATATTTCTATTTAATAATTATATTCAATAATAAGCTTTTGTGGAGATTTAAATAAGCTTCACTGTAAATTTCGTCACGAATCAATATTACAAATTATAGAGATTACTGAAAACTTGGTAGCAGCGGATATATGTTTCGTCTCACTTTGGGACTCTTCATCACGGAACACTAAAGACCAAACCAAAAATTAAACTGAGACCTAAAGGTTAAGAGAGGCCAAGCTCGTGTACTATTCAACAACTTGGATCGGAATTCTACGATTCATGAATTCCAACTTCTGTCAGCTTGCGACGTAACTTTTCAGTACACACCTGGTTTTTTTGTAGTTATCTCTGACTGATGTCATTTACTGACGAAATCGACACTAAAATTAATGCGAACCCCTACAAAAACCTGTAATCTAAATGGTTATCTCCAGTTCCCTGATGGCAGCTGGGTGGGTGTTTTGAAGCCCTACTGGGAATTTGTGACCAGTAAGCCTCACTATGTCAAGGGGAATGGATGTATGCCGAAGGCATTTGGTTGAGAGTATCTGCATTTAACAAAATGAAGTTATAAAACACACGTCTTTGAATTCCTGTCCAAGTGGATGGGCAGGTGGTCACCGAACTCGATCTTGTAACCGGAAGGTCCTCGGTTTGATCCCTATAGGTGTGGACACCGGGGCGTGCTTCTGAAAAGTCCCAAAGTGGCATGAAACGTCCGTCTAGTACTCCCCGGTTTTAAGTGCTTCTCTAAATTTTGTTGGTTCATGACAAAGCCTACACTGAAATCATGTTAAACATTATGAGATCGAAAGGTTTTAATTTACCCCTCTGTGATGTCATAAGTAAGCACTCATGAAGAGTTACAGAAATCAAAGGAAACTGTCTCCTAGTGGTCGTTGACGTATTATTAATTAGGAATAATAATTGACTTGAGCAGCTCGATTGTGATGCCTATAACCATAGCAAAGGGTGACATGGATTCTAGGTTGCAGATACATCTTATAACAAAACAGATTAGTTTGTCTAATTCACCGCCTGCAATTACTATCAGGTCAAATACATAGGTCAAACTAGTGGAACAGGGGCAGTGAGTTAGACTAGCCGAGCATAAAAACCTAGAAAAATCTAGGTTAGTTGACCCGACGTGTAGATAAGAAATCTAGAGAAAAGTTCAGCTATGGCACTCACCACATGCAGTTACACACAACCATACAATAGGATGGATAAGATGACAGTTTTAAAACCTAATGTAGCAGCAGGGTGAAGTGAGAGGTTGATAACAGAAGCTTTGTTTACCGAATCAACTGTAAATACATGTAATAGGAATGATGTAACACCTGCCCCAGATACCTGAAAAATTCTACTTCCCCTACAATGACAAACAGGAGAGGACAAAGAAAACTATGAAGGTCAAGTTTCGAGGTCGTGTGATTATAATTGATGATATGATATGAAGAATAATGAACTGTGTTCGAAACGTCATCCAGCAAATAATACTGTTTCACTAACTGTGTGATACATCTAGTAAACAAACTAATGTGGAATTACTTACTACCACAGTGCCCAAGTTTTACACATATATTGATACACCATACTGACAAGAGCGAAAAGTGTGAAACCTTGGTTACAGAGAGCTTCATCTGAATCGGCACCAATCACCTAAAATCTGTTTAAAGCACACCAAAATGATAAGTCACTTACCTTAGTTGTGTTTCCCTGACTTCAGAACTTAGCTCTCAGTTCAGCAGGTCCTGTGTCTGAATCGCACCATACCTGCTTTAACCCGGATATTTGGGTAGTGTCACTGAACATTGTACAGTCAGCGTAATTTATAGAGTGGTGGATGACATATTTCTTAATAACGAGCTAATTAGGGATGTTTAGTATTTTCTATAATTTGGTTTGTAAGGGTTAGTTATGTTTTTACGAGTTGATCACGGATTGATATCAGTTAGAGAATCATTGAAAACCAGGGAGTACTGGACAGCTGCTGTTTCATCCTAGTTTGGGAATCATTAGAAGTACGCACCCACTGGGATTCGAACCCAGTACCTTCTGGTTACAAGGTAAGCTTGCTCGTATATCATTCAAACACTGGGACCCGATACAAAGGCCATCCCATCAATTCTAACTTCTACCAATTCGTGATTTAATGCAACTCGTAAAACATAACTAACCCTTACAAACCAAACTATAGAAAATTAATCTGATACTCGCTAGTGACTTGCTACAGGATGGAGTTTTCCGGAGTACTACTGAGAAGTCGTGACCAGTGAGTAAATTTTTGTTTTGATAAAGTCTCACAGTACAATCATATCAAGGTGATATGATTATGACCGATAAATTGTGCTCGAAACGTCATCAGTAAACATTACTGTATAACACTGTGAGACTTTATCAAAACAAAAATTTACCCATAATGGAATTATAGTCTACCACAGTGCACAAGTTTTATTCTTACATCAGTGACCAGTGAGGTCCAATTAGATGTCACGTGTGTGGATGTATTTCCCACCAACCACGATGGTTGGGTTTGCGCTGAATCACGAATTGGTAGAAGTTAGAATTCATGGGCTAGCCATTGAATCGCGTTCCAGTGTTTGAATGGTATACGAGGGAGCTTACCTTGTAACCGTAAGGTACTGGGTTCGAATCCCAGTGGGTGCATACTGTCGATGTTTAGTATTCTTTATTTGCTTGTTATAGTAATGGAACACAAATACCACCTTTGGTGAATTAAGCTCAGGCAGGATTCCATTATGGGTAAATTTTGTTTTGATAAAGTCTCACAGTGTTATACAGTAATGTTTACTGATGACGTTTCGAGCACAATTTATTGCTCATAATCATATCAAGGTAATCACACGACTTCCTAAATTCATTTATATAGTTCCATTGTTTTTCTCTTGATTTCCACTTGATTTGATTGGTAATAGTATTTTCCATATTTCAGGTATGAGTGACGAGTTATTCCTATTGCATGTGTTGGGTGTAGACTCGATGAACAAGGATTCAGTAATCAATCTCTCTCTCCACCTACCTAGATTACTTTTTAGAATTTCAACCCTCTCCCACCTTATTGTGTGGTTGTGTGTTAGCGCATGTATTGCAATTGCTGAGCAATTACTATTACCAATCAAATCAAGTGAAAATCAAGAGAAAAACAATGGAACTATATAAATGAATTTAGGAAGTCGTGTGATTACCTTGATATGATTATGAGCAATAAATTGTGCTCGAAACGTCATCAGTAAACATTACTGTATAACACTGTGAGACTTTATCAAAACAAAATTTACCCATAATGGAATTACACTCTACCACAGCGCACAAGTTTATTCTCAGGCAGGATATCTGAATCAATTGAAATCAGCCTTCGTGAATTTTCACTTCTAAATGTGCGATTTATAAATATCAAGTTATATCACAAACCAACGTTATTTGGTTAACCACTGAATACTAGGCAGCATTTGACGTATGTTTCGTCCTAGTTTAAGGAATGTGAACCCGTCCGCCTTAGGTTAAGAGGTGATTTCTATGTCCTGGAGGACAACAAACGCTTTACAATTAAATCATAGAGCTCAGTAAACAAAACCGAAGACAAAAGATCCAACTAAGCTACATGCCTTCTGCAATACTTTAATATCTCAAACTAAGTATGTATTATAACAACGTGTGTCACTCCACCTATGCTGAAGCACTTATTACTTAATAATCAGTTAGTGTATATGCCCTGATTCCTTATTTTATGTCCTCTATGAAAAAATTCTACGATTTTTCTCAACTGATTTGTTTATTTCAATATTCAATTGTTTTTTATCTATTTACAACAGATTCAATGTTCAATATGCGGTAGAATTAGTGAAAGAAATGTAGGTAAGTTTTAATTACACTAATAATAACAATAATAAAACAGGATGAATTTCAAGATATCAATCTATCTGTAATTGATAATGATTCTGTTGAAGATTCGCTAACAGCACACACACAAGTGGAACAATTAACTGGTGATAATCAATACTTTTGTGAGACATGTCAAAGAAAAGTGGATGCGTTGAAGGTAAATTATCCCCTACGTTTTATTGGCTTTACTTTATTTTAAAAATTAAGATTAGTAATATTATCATAATATCGTCGGATTTCGCCAATGATACTTGTCTGATTTCCCACAAACTGGAAGATATGCAAGTGAAAAGCAACAAGTTGGCGATAGAAGAAGCATCAAAGATATGACTACAAGTGAACATAGATAAAACAGAGGTGATGAAGATTCCTAGCCAACAGCAACAACAACAACAGACAACAATCAGCATAAGTGGGAAGAACCTGAAAGAAACGGCCTCCTTCACCTACCTGGGAAGCACCGTCTCAACTACAGGCAAAACTGATGAGGACATCAAAGCCAGAATCGGAAAAGTGAGACAAGTTTTCATTACTGTCAAGTCTGTGTGGAGGTCAAAAGCACTCGGCATGAAAATGAAAATAATATCCGGATTTTCAACTCCAATGTGAAGTCAGTGCTACTTACTTTATGGGTTAGAGACTTGGTGCGTCATAAAGAGCATCTCAAACAAACTACAGACCTTCATCAACAAATGTCTTCACTCAATACTACTCAAGATCAGATGGCTGGCCAGGAAAGATCAGGAACAGGGATCTCTGGCGATGAGCGAACCAACCTAGCAGGAACCGACTGTGCAAGAAACAGGCAGGAAGAAATGGAGGTGCATTGGCTGGCCATATACTGAGAAAACAAATCATCAAGTGAGTGACATCACACACAAGGCGATTGCTTGAGTGGAACCCGAACGGGAAGCGGTGATTTAGTTGTCAGTGCGAGTTTGACTTGGAGGCGGAGGTGATTCCAAGAGGATACGAAAGGATGTGGGCAGACTTGAAGACAGGTGAAAACTCTAGCGCAGAATCGAACGCAATGGAGACGCGTGGCTGAAGCCCTATGTTCTTCTGGGAATTAAAGGAAATAATAATATAATATTTTTAGTGGTTTTATCAGTTCACAAAAAAGGTCCTAAACGATGAAATGAAACAGACAGAAGAAGCGTTGGTGTCAAATAACTAAATGTCCCATAAAATTCATTAGGAAGATCAAAAAAGGTCAGAGTCAAAATAAAAATAATGGTGAAACTAATATTGATAACATAAACAAGAAAGAATATAAGGCATCTACAGTAGCCCTACCATATAAGAAGGGGACATCTGAGACCCTCTCTACGTAAAATTATTAATAAAGCAGGAATTAGGCTAGTGGCATTCAAACCTACAAACTCACTCAGGTAGAACAAGCTCTGTAGGTTAAAGGACCCGCTGAACCCAATTAAATAAAATGCTACAATTTACAAAATACCTTGCAATGACTGTGAGTTAGGTCAACTACTTAGGTCAAACTAGTAGATCGTGAGTAGTTAGATTGTCAGAACATAAGAATTTAGCTAAAGTTAGAATAGTTCTTTCCACGGAAGAAAAAACTCAGCATTTGCACTGCATGCATTAATACACAAACCATACAATAGGATGGGAGAGGGTTAAAATTCTAAAAAGTAATTTAGGTAGATAGAGGAGGTAGAGATTGATTACTGAATCCTACCTGGTTCATCGAATAATCTACACGCATTACATACAACAGAAATGAATCAATGCAAGTACCAGAGATATGGAAAATGTTATTGCCACCGGTTAAAACAGTGAAGGATAAAAAATAATGTTAAAATATATTCAGTTCATATAATTATGACATTCTAAAAACTTACTTATTTTAACTGTAAAAAAACATCTTATTTCCCACCTGATTATATTTGATTAATGACACTAATATTATTTCTGAATGTACTTTATCTTACATTGATTTGAGCTTTGGGATAGCTAGTGCCTCAACTATTCCCCGATATCTTAATTTTACTCCCTTTGATAGGTTTGATCGAATCTTATTTGGAAGGATTTTTTCGAATGGTGCTGAATGTCCTGAATAGACCAGATGTTCTTTCACTGAACTGTATATACGTTTTCGTTCTCCTTTTACTATCCAGGCTGGAGAGTGCTCACTAGCGCGTCTTTCAAGTTGGTTCATTGTACGACTGATGTACTCAGCTCCACACGAGCAATTAAACTGGTATATGCACTTTGAAGTAGCCCAATGCGACAGCTTGTCTTTTGCGTTTTGGCAGAACAGTTTATTGCAGGAAAACGTCAGTCGTAGGCTGGCGGTGAAGTATGTTTTCCTTAGATATTTGCAGAGCTGTTTCCGAAAGATTTCTGCTTCGATGTCACATTTGAATTCTAGATTAAGCAGAAGTATTTTCTTTTGAACGGATTTGACTTGTTCGGAAGTCTTCTTTGATTTGATATTTTTGTCTATAAACCTAGGCGAAAAACCGTTTTCCATCAAGGTTTTTCGGAGATTACCCAGTTCTTCGTCAATCACTCCCTCGCTGCTTATCTTCCGAATCTTCGAGAAAAGAGCGTATATCAAGTTCCTCTTTCTCCTTAGGGTTACGAAGCTTTGAAAGTTGATGAATTGTCCAGTCCATGTGGGCTTTTTGTATATGGACCTCTTCATAGAGTTGTCGGTGTTTCTTGTCAGATGGACGTCGAGGAAGTCGAATATTCCGTTAGATTCAGCTTTAAGAGTGAATTCAATGTTTTGGTGGGCATTGTTGAATGTTTGAAGTATGTTTTCAAGCTCCAGGTTCTCATCACAGATAATGAAAGTATCATCAATGTATTGATTTTACTCAAATGTCTAATCATTTTCACCAATGTATATAAATGAAGTAAAAAGTTGTGTAAGTAATGCCTTGATATGATTATGAGCAATAATTTTTGCTCGTAACGTCATCAGTTAATATTACTGTACAACACTGTGTGATTTATCAAAGTAAAATCTTATCTATAACGGAGTTATGCTCTACCTTAGTGCCCAAGTTTTATACTTATAAGAATTTACATTGTTCAGTTAACTGTTGAACATTGAACATTCATTTGAATAAGTACAGTTTAAAACTCGGATGTTATTAAAAGTGTATAATGAATACAAGTAGATTATGAATAAAGAATGTCAATTCCACATAAGTGATGTGAAATAGGAATAAAAGAAACTAGGTAAAACAATCTATTACACATTCGTGCAAATTGGTAACTACAAGTAAATCTTGATTCTGGACAGTACTTATATAATGTATAGAATTTTCAGAGGAGTCTATTGCATGATATTTTGCTCTCTTTGTACAATATCTTCAAGTAAAATATTAATTAATTGACAGTATATCCTTCCTGTGACACAATGCCCTCTCAGTTGAAGCACAAGCTATTCCATTATAACATATATGCCTGTTTTATCACCTTCAAAAAATGCACAATATCGATCTAGTTGAAAGCCAGTTATAAGATGTTCAAAAGTACATTTTGAGACCCAAGTACATAATAACTGAAGAACAGTTCTCTCACGTTGTATTGGAACACGTTGCCACCCCCCCCCACCCCACAAACGTTTCATTCTCCAAGTTTAGTAGAAACCTGTGAAAGAGAAGCTTGTAAACTTTTTAAATACACAAAGGAGTAGTTGTTACCATTAGAGTTGATTTCTTAACCGATTAAAACAAACAGAACAAGTGAAAATATATGCAATAGAAAAATGGAAGATTTTGGTAGCCCAAATTTAAAGCAGACCGCCAATACCTATCATTCAAATGCCGTAAGTGCTTACGTAAACGTGAACTTCTCATCTGTGATTCTCACTACTAATTAACAATCTGACATTTCGAATAAACCGACAACAACAACAACAACAGCGGTACTATCATTTATTTCGTTGACTCCTCATCATCTGCTTACAGCCTGAATAAATTTTGATTAAGCTCATGTATAGAAAAGTTTTAACATACTTGCAAATTTTACATGATATCATTTTACAGAAGATACCACAATTAGTGAACAGTGATCAGAAAATTACGCTTATATAGCCCCCATACAGGCAGTTCAAGTTTAAACAAAGTAAATGTATGCATACAATGGCAATGTAGTTGCGTAATAAAGATGAGAGATGAGTAAGATGCTGAGTGACTAATAAAATAGGTTGCATGGAGGATTTAATCATGAGCTGACATCAGTTAGAGAACCACTGGAAAACCTGGGAGTACTGGACAGCTGTTTCGTACTAGTCGGGGACCCTTCATCAGTACGCACCCACCGGGATTCGAACCCAGGACCTTCTGGTTACAAGGCGAGCTCGTAGACCATTGAGCCACTGGGACCCGATCCAATGGTCTTTGAATTCTAACTTCTGCCAGAAGGTCCTGGGTTCGAATCCCGGTGGGTGCGTACTGCTGAAGAGTCCCAAACTAGGACGAAACAGCTGTCCAGTACTCCCAGGTTTTCCAGTGGTTCTCTAACTGATGTCAGCTCATGATTAAATCCTCCATGCAATCAAACAAAATCCCTACAAAACCAATACTTGATAATAAAATAGGTAACAACGTACTGAGTTCAACTCAAATCACTCAAATCATAGAAACAAGAGACAAGTGAAATTACGCTATATCGAAGGGGTGAGGTTGAAGTCAACGATTACGTAATCAAATGAAAGAGAGAATAAAGACAACCAGACACCAGGGAAGAAAAGACCGGTAACTGCTTCTTTCTAAACACATTAATAGGGTTTCAGGCGTTTGATAAAAATTGCTTCGGAAAACTTGAGGAGAATTGAACTCCTTTGTCTATTGATAATTTTAAAGGATTTCGCGATTTCCACCTAATGATCCGTATCAAGGAGATGTCTGGTAATAGCACTGTTGGTAGAGTTTGTCCCCTTGAGACAAAGGCTTTTCGGTAAGTGTTCATAGAATCGGAGGTGTGCCTTTCTTTCTGTGCTCCCAATGTAACTGCTCCCGCAGATACACGTAAATTTGTATACACAGTTAGAGTTAACATGAGAAGGGTGTCTGTGAACTTTTAACTGCACCAAAGAGCATTGTTGTCAGATAAACAAAAGCCAACTTAGCTGCAGGATAAAACCTGGTTAGTGAGGTTATCAGTTTTCTGTTGACTATTCCTGCGATGTCATCATCTTTAAAATAGAGCTGAATCAGGTTTGCGTCGGTGCGGGCAAAAGTAGGCTTTTTCCCCACTGTGATTCTTTTGACATTTGAGCCTTCACCTATACCGTACTTGTTGATGAATCTCTGAAGGTAACCGTTGTTTTTCAACATTTCAAGAATTAGAAATCCCTCCTTTAATTTTTTCTGTAGAGCATATTCTCCTAGCTCTACAGAACAGAGTTTTAACTAGTTCTCGTTTATAGCTATTTGGACAAAAACGACTGAATGGTAGTATAACCCATTCCATGTCGAATTTCGGTGAATTGACCTCTGAAATCTACCATCTTTCAGGCATTGAATGGCGATTTCAAGGAAATGACCTCTGTTGACTCAACGCCTTACCTTTCATCCTCTATTAACTTTTACATCAATATGTGTGTGTGTGTGTGTGTGATCAGAATGTCCGAAATGTGCTACGCAAATCCTGAAGGTAATAAAAATGCTAAAAACTGGAAAAGCAGTAGGAGCAGATGGAATCCTAGCGGAAGCATTGAAAATGCAGTGATAAGGACATCATCAAAGCGAGGATCGGGAAAACAAGGCAATCTTTCATTACTCTCAAGTCTGTGTGGAGTGAATTAACAATCAGCACTCAGCATGAAAAATAACATACAGATTTTCAATTTCAATGTGAAGTCAGTGCTACTTACTGTACAGAAGAGGAATTTTGTGGGTCATGAAGGGCACTCTGAACATACTTCGCTCGACATCTGATGGCTGGCCAGAAAACATCAGCAACTGGGTGGGATCTCTGGCAATGAACGAACCAACCCAACCCAGAAGGAACCAGTTGTGCAACAGGAATGTACGTAGGAAGAATTGGAGCTGGATTGGCTGGCCATACTCTGAGAAAACAAACCTTTAAGTGAGTGACATCACACGCCATGCCATTGCTCGAGTGGAACCCCAATGGGAAGCAGCGAGTTGGTCGTTAACGCGAAGGTGACATGGAAGAGGAGGTGATGCGAAGAGGAGGTGGAAGCATGTGGGGAGACGTGGAGCCAGGTGAAAGCGTTGGCAGAGAACTGAAGGCAGTGGAGATGTGTGGCTGAAGCTCTATGTTTCTCTAGGAGTTAAGAGAAACAATAATAATAATAATCATGCAAATATATTATGCCTGTTAGATAAATTATATTTTCCTTCATACTTTATCTACTTCTGAGTATAAAATGAAATTTTTGTGAATTTTTATTGAGTTAGAACTGTTTATTCATTGAAATCATTTAAAAGTATTGCGGATTATTCTTTTAATCTCTCTTTCTTCTCTTTGTTGTTGACAGGTGACACGTTTTGAAGAACTTCCACCGATTTTAACACTTTCATTGTCACGTTTTTATTTTGATGCAGAAATAATGCAATCTGTGAAGTTAGAAAAATTATGCAGTTTCCCGTTTATCTTGGATATGACAAATTTTTTAAGTCAAAAACCTAAACAGGTAATTTCTTTCTAAATTTTAATAAATGGTTGGTATTGTTTCTAAAAGTAAGAAAATGTAAGTCTTTGAATGTTGATCCATTTGTCAGTAAATGCTGACGTTCCCATTCTTAGACCTTCAGTTGAGCTTAAATGAACTCACAGTGGAAAAAAAAGCCTTAGAGATACATCTTCATTGCACTGGATTCAGTTCCATTGCTTTCAACTGGATATACGAACGCCCGCAAGCTGTCACTTTTTCTTCACATTAATTTTTCCATATCGCCCTCAGATATACTCCCAACTCATCACTTTACATTCGCATCTTACCTAATGGTCTAGCTTGTGATGTCATTTGAAGAACTTTTTAGCGTGTGTCTAATCTATCTTCATTGCTTTCTGAATATTAGTTGGACAACAGATTGTTAGACATTTGGAGATTTGTTACAGTTCCTTGTTACGCATGCCTTGTGGCTGTTTGACCATCGGTATTGACAGAAAGAGCTTGTTAAATGTTCAGATTGCAAGCATCCTGAACCTATCGCTGAGTACAGAAGACTAAAAGTCAATCTGAACGAAGAATATTCTTTTCAATAATTTCTCCTCTTCAGGTTCTTACAATTATAAAATATAATATTTGTGCTGTTACAATAAAGATAGCCAGGTATGCGGCGGATACATTTTTAACGTAGAACAACAGATTAGTACTCATAGGAAGTCAAAATAAATAGTCATACTTATGTGGCAAACGTTGTGCTAGGCTGAAATCTACTAGAAAATATTGTAAAATGGGAGACAATGGTTGTGATTGATCATAATAGATCTGTAGAGTGTGGGGTAGGAAAATTGACAAATCAGTTCAAGGTTATAAAAGGTGTCAGGTGAGTGAGTGGCTAGTACAAAGTGGTCTGCGTTAAACAGGAGATAGTAACACTGGAATGAGAGGTTCATAGTGAGATAACGAATATTGTAGTAATTTATTGTAATCGTACTATTAGTATTTCGAGATGACCGAATTACAAGAATCCAAACAAAACACAGAGAGGGCGGAATTCAGGAATTTGTATTTAGCGGAATTATGATACAATTCATATATGAAACATATTAGCAATCAGCAGTAAGTACTTAAACAATACAGAGATAGAAATTGTCAATCACCACATCCGCCACACGTCGAATATCTCCTTGCGTATTTATAACGATCTCTCGGTTAGCTTGCAAGTAGCTGCGACCTTCTAACTAATTCTGTGATATTATCTTCATCACTGTTATCTGGGCTTATTTCAGAATTATCTACTTCATTTATTGTCACATTGTCCAGGTGTCCGTTATGAACTGAGTGATCTTGATGTCTAATATCTTCAACATCGATTTCCCATTTTTTGTAGTATGATTCCAACAGAAGGTCTGTAGTCATTCCCTTTGTAATAATGTACATTAGAAGTCGTGGACATCAGATGCTTTTTGAGAATTCGAGATTTGAAAAGTTTTGCAGGACTTTCACGGGTACTTGTATGCTCTGCATTCAACAGACGCAGTCTATGCATATGCAACAATTCCTCCATTTTAATCAGTTGCTCTCTCATCTCATTCAGTCTTTTCGTGTTTTCGACAGTTCACATTGTAACTCGGCTACCTCATTTTTGGAAACAGTTGACGCTTGAGTTGCTGAACTTGTAGTGGAGGTTTTCATTGGATGAGATTGAGTATTTTGAAAGTTGAAAGACACATTGACTCCATTTTACTAGACAGATTGGGAGAATTATAAGAATGTTGAGCAACATAAGTATTCGAACTTCTGCAAACAGTCTTGATGTGTCCAACTTTACCACATTTATGGCACTTAGCACCCCGAAAACGGCAAGTGCTTCGTAGATGTAACTTTCCACAGGAAAAACACGATTTAATGTTTTTGATCTCTCGCTGCATTCTATTACCTGTGGACGGCAGTTTGGATTGCTTTCCATGACACTTGTATTTTCGACTTTAGAAAGCATGACATCAGATACTGACGTAGTGGGAGCAGAGTATTCATTATTGACATCTTCATATGTAATACATAAATCTTTAGCAGTTTGAAAGGTACAAGAAGGAATCTGAATTAACTCTTTCTCTAACTTAGGAATATTGATTCCAGCAATTAGACGATCACGTAGTTGAGTATGCAGCTGATCTCCAAAGTTACACTTTGAAGCTTGAATTTGAAGTTGAAGAATGAATCTCTAATCTTCTGGTTGGGAGCACGAACCAGTTTGTTGAATTGAGCCCTCTCTCGCGTCTCAAAAGTAGTTATATGGAAGTGATCTATCAGAAGTTCACGGAGCTTAGCATATGGCAGAGAAATTGGTTTATCTGGAAACGACAGAGTCTTCACTAGGCTATACGCATCTAGCCCAATAGCAGTGATGAAATGTGCTGGTATTTTGTCATCCCGAACATTCTTGAAATGCACCACGCATCGAAGCATTCAAATAATCAGCAATCTCCCGCGGAGAACATTAGAGGAAATTTTCCCAGGTTATTTAGTTCCATCGCGACGCCAATTTGTAGTAATTTATTGTAATCGTAGTATTAGTATTTCGAGATGACCGAATTACAAGAATCCAAACAAAACACAGAGAGGGCGGAATTCAGGAATTTGTATTTAGCGGAATTATAATGCAATTCATATATGAAACATATTAGCAATCAACAGTAAGTACTTAAACAATACAGAGATAGAAATTGTCAATCACCACAAATATGTTAAATGAAACAGGTGGAGGCATATATTGAGAAAACAGATAATATCACTAATAATAGGTCCGTACAAATGAAAATTCGATAGTATTGAGGGAATGTTTGCATAAAGGACATAAATTATGACGAAAAATAATAATAATATTTATAATAATAAGCAAAGTAAAAAGAAAAAAAACAAAAAAACCAAGAGGGTTAAGGGGAAGGAGCACTCTTGGTGAGAAGAAAAATCTTCAATCCAAGGTTGACCACGGTAGGAACAGTGTCTGGACGTGTTCCTGCTGGATACACAGTTCCGGTTTAGTCGATCTTATTGCAACAGCTTCAGCTATGTGTAGGAGACGTAAGCGAACTGTACGTGATAGCGACTTTGGAATTCGGTATATAACTCTGAAAGCTGTTTTGACATCGATGCGATGTCCAGTATCGACCAGGTGTGACAGGATCGAGCTTTTTATGCACTTAGTTTCCCCCCTGCTGAACCAAGCTGGTAAGTGTTCTCGAACCCGTAGACGAACCTGCCTAATCGTGCGCCCTACATAACTTGAACCACAGGAACAGTTAAAATGGTATATGCATGAAGAAGAGCTAAGGTTAGGTAAGACATCTTTGAGTTGCTGGTGAACATTGGACGGCTAGTGAAGAGACACAGACGTACAGAGTAGAAAGTTTTCTTGATCGCCCAGGTTAAACGTTGGGATAGAATCTCCACAAGAGTATCTCCCCTAAAAAACTGAATACGAAACACAATAACCAACTTTTATGAATTTAGACAAAGCGATAAAAGACGTAATTTGTCTGAGTCGTGTTATGTGTTTGAGTAACACAAACAATCTGATCACACACGGACTTGTCATAGGAATATTATACATATATATATATATATATATATATATATATATATATATATAATTGAAATAATAGAGTTAAGCGTGAGAAAATAGACAGGTTAGGTCAAGTTAAAAGGACATATGGAAGATCATAATAACAATGAAGACCACTAAACCAAATAGCAGAAATAATAGTACATCTGCTATGCTATCAAAACAAAGTTTACCAAAGAAGATTAGTGTGAGACGAATTGTTGCTTTGAATGCATAAAGGTGGTTTAAACTTTCTAACTGCCATCTAGAGCTCCAGAAACTTAAGGATACGCCCCAAACACTTTTATAGGTTTAAAAGATGTGTTAACGTTAATTATATGTCCTGTCTCTATAATATGTTTCGCAACAGAAGAGCTAGGCCTCCTGTTCTCACCAACACCAATATTAGAAAATGAGGAGAATACGATTTTTTTCCTTCAATGATTACGAAACAGACTGCAAGTTACTATGTGCAATATGTACAATAATACTTCTGACTGCATTTCTCCAGTCCTCTGACGAACAGCATGCGATTAAGCAACGACTGCCATAGTTGTCTCCCACAATGGAGATCATTTCGAATCAACAAACCATTGGATGTTCACCAGCACTGACAGATCTGCTGAGAAACGTCAACGGCCTTACGTCAGCATATAATTTAAAACGTATACATACCATCCATGTTAACTGTTTTGATTGCCGTTTGACGATGTCAATGCTGTACCTTTGACATTGTTGTTATGATAGGATTTTATGTTGTCATTAGCAAGCGATTAGAGTAGGTCTGTTAGGCAGTTAAAATTCCTATTACTCACAGTCTACAAGGTCGCTCTAGTGGTTATATCAGTTCAGAGTTTTGTAGAATTAACTCATCTTGTAAAAGATAATGAAAAGACATCGGAAAATCAGGATTTTATGGATGATTTGTATCTAATATTGCAGAAACTAGAATATCAGCAGGCGCAAATCAGCAAGTCGGTGGAAGAAGTAGCGAAGTCATGAAATATTTTAGGTGAAAGTACAGAAGACAAATGTGACGAAGATACCTGATTAACAATAGCAACAACAACATGCATTAGTCACTACCGACAGGGGAAATCTCAAGGAAGTCACTACTTTTACCTATCTAGACAGAGGACCTTTTCAAATGTAGGTGGCACAGATAAGAATGTGTGTGACGGCAGAAGACAAGGGCCAGGCAACAGATCGTTTATTAAGGAAATCAAAAGATATTTATAGATTTTGATGTACATTATTATTTGTTACTGTTAATAGAGAAGCAACGTCTTCTGATTGGTTGTTTTTTTGCTGAAGGTTATTCTGTCATCTCTTCATGGCCGTTTCTTAGACAGTCGGTTGATATAAATGCTAATCGTATCCTCCAACGCTACGTCTGCTGGCATTGGTTGTTGAGTTGGTCTTTGTTCTTGTTTTTTCTCATGACGAAGATTTGGGACGTAAACATTGATGTAAATTGCTGTCTAGCAGATAGCTCTCACCAAATGTGAAATATAGACAGAAGGGGACTGACAAAACAATTCATATCTTCACTAAACTGAAATTGATGTGGAACTCTACTGAACTCAATGCTTCTGTGAGGTTCACAGACTTGGGTTGAGTGTCACAGAAGTCATTTCCAACAGGCTGCAGACTTTTATCAACAATCTTCATTTTCTGGCTCAATACTGGAGACCAGATAATTGGCAAGAAAGGATTAGAAAGGAGGAACTTTAGCAACGAACCGATAAGAACTTCTTTATCGCCAAACCAATAAGCAAAGAGATACAAAAGTGTAGTGGATATAAGCTGAGGAGACCTTTGAGTGGCATTATGTGGCAGACATGGGTCCAAGGGTGGTATCGGCGGGGGGTGGGGTGAATCAAGGAGTCAACTAGACAGAACTACAGAGAACAGGATGATATAAAATATGACGTTGATGCCTTCTATTTCACGAAGAACTCAAAGGAATCGTTATAATATATCATTCTTCTCAAAATATTATACATTTTCATCTAAGTGTATATGTTTTAATCTTTATTTTTTAGAAATTAAAATATGAATTATTTTCAGTTGTAATTCATGTTGGCGGTAGTACTGGAGGTGGGCATTATCATGCATTTATTAAAGATCCATATGGTACAACATCTACAGGTGAAAGAGATAGTCAATCGGCAAGTAATTTTTAAAATTAATTAATTCATTTATCATTAGTGAGATGTTTGACTTTGTTTTCGTGATATTATCATGAGATAATTATTATTCCTATATAGTGGGGTGAGGGTGTCGGTGGAACAGCGGTGTAGTGCTCGCCGACTACTCAGGTGGCTCAAGGTTCAATCCCCGGCCACCGACGCACTCCTTTACCTCGCTAAGCCAGTAATAAGACTGGTATAGAGGGAAGATTAGGCATGAGGCTATCAACCCCAAGCACCGCTGCTACCGAAACTTCAAACTTCTAGCTTGAAGCCCTATGTTCCACTGTGAACGTAAAGGAATAAGATAAAAGGAAGTGGGATGTAGAGCTTAAGTAGGGAATCACAATTTCACATGGTTCACTGCTTTTCTGTATAGGTGGCTGCACTATTACTTTCATTTCCGTTCCACAAGATCTCCTTGGTGTCATCCTCTGACCCAAGCTTAACTTGTCGTTTCTCATTCGGTTTCCGTTCGAGGGTCTTACATGGAATGTCTTCATTTCCCTCAGCTTGGTCACTGGACAACAGGTTGTTGGTTAGTTCACTATCTGAAAGACTTTCTCAATGCTTATCCTTATTGGTTGGCCATCTCATCTTTGAGCTAAGGTATCCACCGATAAAAGTCTGCAGTATCCCGTCGGAAATGCTTCGATAATGTGGGGGGCTGAGTGTCCGAACCATACAAAAGCCGTGAATTTAAATTAATGCTTGAAATTTAGATCTTATTCCTGGACTAACTACCGTAGATCTCCATACTTATTTGAGTGCATGTCTGTCTAGTTTCCGTTCCCGATCGTGACTGGTTCTGTTAGCCTCATCACTCCTGCTTGTAGTTGAAACGATGCTGTTTACTTAAATTACTGAGAACACTCCCTTCATCACTAAATTCACCGGAAGTCCTACCTTGGCTGCTTCTTCAGACAACTTGTTTGCTTTTGCTATCTCTCAGTTTGTGAGACGTTCCTCTTGATAAATACGTGCATATCCTTGTGTTAATTCTACCTCCTTTCCCTGATTGGCTAGTTTAGGGTCATTTTTTTGTTGTTTGCTCGGGTAACTGTTCTTTCATTTGGATCACAAACTGATTACTTTTAGAGAAACACTGAAAACCAGGGACTATCAGATTGTTGTTTCACCCTTGTTTGGGACACTTCAAAAGCAAGCACTAAAGATCGACCCTAGTATCCTTAGTTTACAAAGCGAATTCATCGAACAGGGATAGAATCCAATGGTTCACTTTATGATATATCGCGCCCTACTCGGCCTGCTATTCCCTGACACGACCTCTCAATAGAACCTGTAGTCACTTCCTAGTAAGAATCAAAAATCTGTTTATATCAATTCGCGACTCAAAGGAGATGACTTAAAGGAAGTAGTCAAACTAAGACTCGACAGAGGACTTATTATGCTGCAAATCTTGTATTCCTTGATGCTACCAAGGGGGTGTTCCAACAATCTTGCAAAGACCAGCCACCAGTCACCAATCGTCGACACTTCAAACTGAGTATATATCAATTTAAGTGTGTTTTTGGAAGCAAATACATAGGCCGTACAGAAAGGCGATTGTCTACTCGCATGATGGAGCATTTATTAACGACATGATACTGACGCCGTCAAGTAACTCACTGTCATCAGCAGACAAAGAAACATAAAGTTGCTTGCAACTGCAGAGGCTTGCACAATTCAAGCTTAAAAACCAGGTCTCTGTGTACAAAAGGAAATGGTGGTCACTCTGAATCAACCAAGATAATAGGTTTCACTTATTAACTATTATTATTAATTTTAACAGTACTTTATTCTAACTCTTATTATTATTCTTGATTCATTTAAAACAATCCTTAATTAGTGCTACTGTCTCAACTCGTTTTATTCTCCATTCTTATAAACTGTGATCAAGATGTGACCGAATAGTTCCAAAATAATTGGGTGCCGAATGAGAAGTAGATATTTGTAAATATATTTGTAAAATCTCAGTGAAAATGAGACGAGTAATTACAACGTTTCGTTCGGCGATCTGGTCCGAACATCTTCAGGGAAATTAATCGACATTAACATAACAGAGGTTTATATATAAAAAGGGGGACATCTCTTATTTTTAAAAACTTTGTCCAATCATATGAGTCATGAAACAGGTATCAACATGTATAATAAACAAAATTGTATGAACGGTGATCTGAATTTGACCTCAGACATGCAAAAATTAGTCTGCTTTTGTTAAACGCTTTAAACGGAGTCTACTTTTCATCAGATTACGTTTGACTTAAAGTTCATGGTCGTAGATAACTGAATACGAAAATATATGTGTATATGCAGTTTACAAAGGTGTGTGCATAGGTAAACAGTTGTTAAACATTTATTAGCCTCTCCATAAGAAGATATAGACAATCGGGAATTTAGACGAAGTATAATTAGTTAGTGATACATATCCATTTTTATTTATTAATCAGGATTTACCATGCATCAGCTAACATAACACTTTCACGTCTATTCAAACAGCTGGGATTCTCTCATATATATAGGGCTTCTGCAATCAGTCTTTCTTTATACGAACCAAAACCTTTCTGTAGAACCGTAGTCCTATCAAAGTTGATTTTATGTCTCGTTTCCATCGAATGCAGTGCAATCGCTGATCTGTTTACAAGCTTCTTAAAGTATACAGAGGTCTTTGGAACCACCACTAGACGTTGCTTATGCTGTTTCACTGTTATACTTACCTGTCTGTAAGTGCGTCAGTGACACAGCGGTTATGACTCTCACCGACCAAGCACATGGTCCGGGGTTCGATGCCCTGCCGACGCACACCTGATATCTATGGTCGGCCTGCGAAATTTGGGCTACTGATATAACATGCTGAAAAGTCCATACTTGTACCAAAAATACAGTGTAGAATCAAGCCATTATATTATATATATATATATATATATATATATATATATATATATATACGGCGTCACAGTCCCCACAAAATGATCTTGTAAATACATTTCTGTTGGTTTGCTTCTTTTATTTTATCCTTAACCTTCCCCAGTGATGAACGTGTTAGTTGCACGAAAATACACTCTTATTTTTGTTGGGCACTAGTAACTAGTGGGGCGTGTCTAGTCCTTTCTTTGGTACAGACTGAATTCTATCAGTCAGCTTTGTAATGTGGCCATCATTCTAGGTAGCTCTCCATCATGGTGCACATTGATTTGATGATACTAGATAGTTGGAGGTAATCGGTAGGAAGCCTTAGACCAAATAGTTCAATGGTAACGTCTCTGACTGCAGCATTGGGTGACGCGGTTTCGAATCTCAGAAGGGACATGAGTTCCTTCAAGGTTGCAGATGCGCCTTGCTGACGAGTGCCTAGGTCCAAGGCTTCCTGTGACTGATTACCTCCAACCATCTAATACACTCTTATGTCATGCTCATTAAGGATTCGCTTTATCTCATCCGATGTTTCTTTGTGGTAAGGAGTCCCTGCTGTACTAACCCAAATCTTAGCAACAGGTTTCGAAACATCCCTATTATCGTTATTATTATTGTCATTAGTATTATTGATATTACTCAGTTCCAAATCTTGATATATTTAAGTTCCTTATCTGATGACTAATTGTTTATTTAAGTTAAGTATTTGAACCGTAATACATTTTATTTTAATTTTATATCTTACATGTAGTCACACGATATCTTCCTTGTTTGCCTGTCTGATATCTTTTCCTATTATTTATCATTATAATTTACTTTAACTCCTAGAGAAACATAGAGCTTCAGCCACACATCTCCACTGCCTTCGGTTCTCTGCCAACGCTTTCACCTGGCTCCACGTCTCCCCACATACTTCCACCTCCTCTTCGCATCACCTCCTCTTCCGTTTCACCTTCGCGTTAACGATCAACTCGCCGCTTCCCATTGGAGTTCCACTCGAGCAATGGCATGGCGTGTGATGTCACTCACTTGATAGTTTGTCTTCTCAGAGTATGGCCAGCCAATCCACCTCCATTTCTTCCTGCATATTTGTTGCACAATTGGTTCCTGGTTGATTCCGTGTTGTTGATCTTTTCTGACCAGCCATCTGATCTTGAGCGAAGTATTGAGCGAAGACAGTTGTCGATGAAGTTCTATAGTTTTTTTGGGTGCTCTTCATGACGCACCAAGTCTGTCATCCATAAAGCAGTACTGACTTCACATTGGAGTTGAAAATCCGAATGGTATTTTTCATTCTGAGTGCTGATGGTTGATTTCCTCCACACAGACTTGAGAGTAATGTATATAATGTCTACTGATCGTTAGTCCATTATTACTCACAATCTATCTTGTCTGTCTACTGACAAAATTTAATAATTCCCATTGTAGCATTAAGAACACAATATTCAGCGAAGAGAATTTTTTCAACGAATTTACTATCAACCTGTACAGTCGTATATATACATGCGTATATATATATATATATACGGTGAGGCAATTCAATCCAAGGTATGAATACATGAAACAATAATAGTATGAAATACAGTTAAAATATTCGTGATTATGATCATAGTTTAATCTCAAGTGGCAAAATAATTAATGTCATATATAGAATAATACATAAGGTGTATAGATGTTGGAATGGCGTATATAATTATAGGATTAGTAGGCGAATATAAAATGTTACATAACATGGTGTGAAATGTGATAAGACAGAATTCAAAAGTGTAGAAAAAATAATTGTGGATTTAGAATAACAAGTGGGAAAGGAGAAACAATTCAGAGTGAGAATAGTAATAATAATAATAATAATCGTAGTAATGAGGGAAAGGCACAGAGATTAACTAAATAAAAAAAAATGGAAAAATAAATGTCTATCCCTCTATGGCGAAGGCAGAAATAGGGATTGTAAATACTTCTTTTGTGGACAAAGGTCTGGCTTAAATTCATGAATGGTCGAGGCATCGGCTGTCTTTAGAAGTCTGTAACGAAGAAAACGCGGCAGGTTAGCATGGGTTTGGTAGATGAACTTAAAATCATGGTCAGGGTTGTTAGAGTGACAGGAGTCGATCACAAATATTTCAGTTGCATTTTACACTATTATTATTATTATTTCATATATTCACACCTTTGATTTAATTCCCTTACCGGATATAATTTCACTAAAACTATATGTATACGACTGTACAGCTTGGTAACAGATTCATTTTTCAAGTATTGGTTTTGTAGGGATTTGGTTTGATTGTATGAAGGATTTAATCATGAGCTGACATCAGTTAGAGAACCACTGGAAAACCTGGGAGTACTGGACAGCTGTTTCGTCCTAGTTTGGGACTCCTCATCAGTACGCATCCACCACCATTCGAACCCAGGACCTTCTGGTTACAAGGCGAGCTCGTAGACCATTAAGCCACTGGGACCCGATCCAATGGTCCTTGAATTCTAACTTCTGCCAGTTCACGACATAGCGCGACCACATCGCAATGTCTTCTTCGATGAGTTACTTCCTCATCTTCAACCTGCTGTACCCTACTGGTCACAGCTTCCCACTAGAACCCCAGGTTAACTGCCTGAATAGGGCCAGTCACTAGTGAGCACAGATTAATTTTCAAGTATTGGTTTTGTAGGGATTTTGTTTGATTGCATGGAGGATTTAATCATGAGCTGACATCAGTTAATTAATCGATCAAGCCATTATTATTATTACTATTATGACTAAATGAACAATTTATAATCCGCATCTTATCATTATAATGAAGGTTTTTTTGTATTTCCCAATGAATGAAAAACAAAGAACGATATTGTCGCTTTTAACAGACGTTTCGCTATTTAATGCTAATAGCTTTCTCAAAGTATTATTAAACCGGAATCTACACAATCTCAGCATATATATAATAAAGAGTTAAGGGGTGACAAAAATAAACTTAGTTCAACTTAAAAGGACATATTCAAAGTCAAAATAACAATGGAGATCATAGAAACCAAACATCAAAGATAATAGTATATCCGCTGTTATATCAAAACAGAGTTTTCTAACGTGATCACCGTTCGTCACTCTGGGGTCGTTTGTTGTCAAGTTGGTCAATTGGTAAAGATAACAAAATCAAGTGTAGGCTGCTGGATTTTATCAGTGTGTAAAATTATGAAAGTAGTGTGTGTTTACATAGTGAACTTGCTTATCACATTTGTGTTGATTTTGTCACTTCATGGGGGAGCGGGGTGTTGTAGCCAGGTCAGATTCTGTTTTAGTCCATCATTCCTATTCAGGCTATTTGGACTCCACTTGATATGAATGGTTGGCTTCTGATGATGTTAGACGTTCTTTGTGGTTTCTGAAGTTTTTCTGGATGATGATTTCAATATTGTCAAAATCAATTTTGTGGCCTGATTCTATAGCATGTAGACAAGCTATGGCTGATGATTTTTCAAGTTTTTCTAGTTCACTAACTGGATTTCTTGGTGGTCGAAGAGATGCTCTACGGTGTTCATTTCTTCTGATTTTGATTTCTCCAGATGTTTGTCCGATGTAGATCGCATCACATTCCAAGGAAGCATTTTATTTTATAGACACAATTAGATAGAGAATCTTTCGGGATTTGGTCTTTTATATGGACAAGGTTGCTTTGAAGCGTGTCTGATGTTTTGAAGAAAACTCTAATGTCGAGCTGATTGAGTACTCTTCTGATATCGTCTGACGTCTCTGCCTTATATGGAATGACGACTGTTGAGGTCCATGTTTTCGGAATGCGTTTTCGGCCATACTTAATGTCTGTGTTGATTTTGTTGATGAAGTTCCTTGGGTAGTTGTTTTGCTTGAGAGTTTCAGTAATGTGTGATATTTCTTCTTCCTCTTTTTCCTGCTCATCTGTTGCCAGAGAGTGTGCTCGTCTAACCTAAGTCTATTTTCTCAGCCCTTCACTCTTTGTTATATATAAGCTGAGGTGATTTTGTAAATTATGGTTTAATACTACTACTTTGATGAAGCTTTTAGCAGCATTAAATAGCGGAACGGCAGTAAAAGCAGCAATATCGTTTTGTTTTTCATTCATTGGGAAATACATACACCTTTATTATAATGAATATCATATACCCACTGCCCAAATTTTTCAAACCGTTAAAAGTGAACTTGGTTTCGACATATGTAATTTTCCTTCTTTGTTTCTTTCTGCAATTCATTCATACTTACAGAATAATAAATGTACAAACCCAATGAACTGTTCAGCAACAAGTACACAAAATATACGATTAGACAGTAGTAATAATAAATTAGAAAATAGTCAAGAATCAAATCAACACGATGTATTGATTAATTCGCATAAATTCCCATTGAATGATAACTCTGCTGGTGCTGCTGCCTATATCGATCATAATGATAAGATGATTGAACATTTAACAAATGATGGAGAAACTCATCTGGCCCATGGTACCTATAAAAATGACAACAGTGGTGTGGACGATGAAGACAATGGTGACGCGGACAATACAACTCGCATGATCAATGATGATGGAAATAGTGATAAAAATACCAATGATAGAAAACATGATGATGATAATGGCATCGAAATTTCACTAGATAAGCAAAAAAATGAAACCCATAGTAAACTAAATTCACATGAATCTGTAACATCAGCTAGCTTAAATCAAAAATCTTCAGCATATGAAAATAATTTACCATTGAATCGAAAAATAATATTAAAAGAGATAGATAAACAAGCAAAATTGACCGATGAGTATGAAGCGTACGATTCAAATTTCGGCCATTCAGAAGTGGATACATTAAAACAAAACGGGAATTCTAAGCATGAAATATTATTATTTAAAGATAATTTTGATAAGAATACTACTGATAATAAAAAATCAATAAATGATACATGTTATGAACAAGTCAATAGAAAAGAAGCGGAACAAGATCACTGCTTGCACATGAATTTGCAAACAAATGAAATTAATTTAAAGAATTTACAAATTAAGTAAGTTCTAAACTTATTTATTTTTGTTTGGTCTATAGAGATCTGATGACTGGTAATGAGAAATATACTGGGGAAGACGACTTTTAATATCTCTACTGACTTCAGTGTAGATTTTGTTACGAATAAACAGCAGTTACAGAGAGGTCATTGAGAATGAAGGAGCACACTGAACGACCGTCTCGTCCTGATTTCAGACTCCTCAGCATTGTACACCTACGATCATATCAGCGAACCAGCCAATCACTTTCATATATATTATGAGGTTAAAATCGTTGATTATTCAGCTAATTGGGCGGGATTTCAAAATGTTTAATCGAAGTTATTTTTACATACAAATGGAGAGAATAGAGTACAGAATTTATGCGACTTAATCTGTGTGGTGATGGATGTTTGCACAATAAGTAAATGCTAAGTCACATGACCGTATAGTAGTGTTATGATTTAACTACTTCTTTATTTCGCAATACGCGTTGAAATTGAAATGGAGACACCGAGTTGCACATAGACGCCGTAATCACGGATATCGTTTGACTACGCTAATAACATTATATGACAACTATCCGTTTCCCAGCCTGCTCCATTTAAGCCAGAATACACATCTTCGTTAGCCGAAAAGTATATTTCACACAACAATGTGTGATTCGATGATATTAGATGGTTGGAGGCAATCGGTCACAGGAAGCCTAGGCCCTAGGTTTCGTGCTAGTTGGCACTCATCAGCAAGGCACATCTTCAACCTCGAAGGAACTCATGTCGCTTTTGAGACTCGAACCCACGTTACCCACTGCTGAAGTCAGAGACGTTACCACTGAGCTATTAGGGCTGGCTTGTGATTGACCTCCTGTGGGACTGTATTGGATATTTTGATTCGACACTAGTAACTAGTGTGATGTGTCTAGTCCTTTCTTCGCTGCAGACTGAATTGTATTGGTTTGTAGGGATTTTGTTTGATTGTTCAGAGGATTTCATTATCAGCTGACATTGGTTAGAGAACCATTGGAAAACCTGGGAGTACTGGACAGCTGTTTCGTCCTAGCTCGAGAATCATGATCAGTATGCACCCACCAAGAGTGTTTCGAACCGAAGATCTAGTCACAAGTCGAGCTGGTAGGCTATTAAGCCTCTGGGACCGTCATTTAATCTATCTTCATGACCAATAAAATAATGGGCATTATTTCACGTAGGCCGATTTTGATTGGTTTATTTCTAGGCTGATCTGGTTCACCACTTCAGCATTAAAGCATAATCCATTGTTTATATGTCTATATATCAAGTGGCTTGCATATCTTCCAGTTTATGGGAAATCAGACATATATCATCGGCGAAATCCAGATCCTCCAAGTCTTTTGGAGGATCTGGATTTCGCCGATGATATATGTCTGATTTCCCATAAACTGGAAGATATGCAAGTGAAAAGTAACAAGTTGGCAGAAGAAGCATCAAAGATAGGACTTCACGTGAACATAGATAAAACAGAGATGATGAAGATTCCTAGCCAACATCAACAACACCAACAGACCACAATAAGCATAAATGGGAAGAACCTGAAAGAAACAACCTCCTTCACCTACCTGGGAAGCATCGTCTCAACTACAGGCGGAACTGACGAGGACATCAAAGCCAGAATCGGAAAAGCAAGACAAGCTTTCATTACTCTCAAATCTGTGTGGAGGTCAACAGCAATCAGCATCAAAAATAAGATCCGGATTTTCAACTCCAATGTGAAGTCAGTGCTACTATACGGATCAGAGACTTGGCGAGTCATAAAGAGCATCTCAAACAAACTTTAAACCTTCATTAACAACTGTCTCCGCTCAATACTCAAGATCAGATGGCCAGAAAAGATCAGGAACAGGGATCTCTGGCAATGAGCGAACCAATCAGGAACCGATTGTGAAACAAATAGGCAGAAAGAAATGGAGATGGATTGGCCATACTCTGAGGAAACCATCAAGTGACATCACTAGACAAGCCATCGCTCGAGTGGAACACGAAAGGGAGGTGGCGAGTTGGTCGTCCAAGGGTGACTTGGAGGAGGTCATGCGAGGAGGAGATGAAAGCATGTGGACATACCTGGAGCAGGGTGAAAAAGTTGTCAGAAAACCGAAGTCAATGGAGGTGCGCAGCTGAAGCCCTATGTTCCTCTAGGAACTAAAGGATACAATAATAAATAATAATAATAATATCAAGTGGCTAGACATATTTGATAGATAGACGTTGACACTTGATCGGTGGATTGTTATGCTAATCGTTTGACGTAGATACCAGTCATATTGCAATATTGTAAATGATATATTTTCTGAATTTTAGCTTTACTATCTTAGTTCGTTAGTACATAGCCTGTATTTGACTTAATCAGTAATAAAACCCACTAGACTTAGACCAATACAAACAACATTCGATAGTGAACAGAATATCCCCATATTGAGTCAGAAGAGGACAACATCAACAGCGAAGAAAATTTTCTTTTCGACAATCCATTCTCATAAGCAGTACAATCAATCGTATTTAACAAAGAAAGATGAAGACCAGTCAGATATTGGTTAAATTTGTCCTTGAGAATATATTACATAACGTGGGGGATAATCTAGAAGGGGATGACTAATTGGAGATTATATAAACGGATGAGAAGTTGGGATGATGTAATAAGTGTGAGAAAAAACTACTGATCAATATAATTGTGTAGAGTCAGCAAAAACCAGTGGAAAGTGTTTTCATAAAATCCTTATAAAAATGCAGTGTTGTTAATAAATAATAATAGAGTGATAATAAAATAAGGATGATGCGAATAAACAATGCGAATAACAATAAAAATAGTAAACTTACACAATAAAATGAAGCGAAATTATAGTAAGAACTTTACCCTGACCACGGTAGAGTGAGTGAATCTCTGTGGTGCTTTTAAACGCAGAGGTCCAGTTTTAGACCCCGAATAGCCAATGATTCATCTATTGGCACTGTGATAGTAAGTTATTGCACATTAGTTTGTCTATTAGATGTATCACACAGTAAAACAGTATTGTTTACTCGAAGACATTTCGAACACAATCTATTATTGTTCATAATCATATCAATTATGATCATACGAGTCCGAAATTTGAGTTTTATAGTTTTCTTTGTTCTCTCCTATTTGTAATCATCGGGGTAGTAGAATTTTCCAGATATCTGGATGGAGCGGTGTTGAATCATTCCTATTACATGTATTTGCAGTTGATTCGGTAAACAAAGCGTCTGTTATTAATCTCTCCCTCCACCCTGTGTCATTAGATTTCAAAACTGTCATCCTATCCCATCTCTTTATATGGTTGTGTGTAACTGCATGTAGTGAGTGGAAGAGCTGAACTATTCTCTAGATTTCTTATCTTATTTGGGTCAACCAATCTATATTGTGCTAGGGTTTTATGCTCGGCTAGTCTGACTGACTGCCCCTGTTCTACTAGTTTGACCTATGTATTTGACCTGACAATCATTGGAGGCAGGGTAATAGACAAACTAAATTGTTTTGTTTAATGGGATCCACTGTTAGGATGCTTTAAACGACGCAGATGCATCCACTCCTTGTGACTTATGATTTCCAATGAACCTATATATTGTTCTTCGTTATTACTATTCCTTTGTCTCACACCTCTGTTTACTGTCTCTATTATGCTTTTCTTCTACTTTCTTCTCTTTCTTTGTGTTACATGGATGGAGTGTGGCGACTTGAACTGGTGCACATCAGTGCAAAGTTCTGTGTCAAAAAAAGACAGACATAAATGTAGAATCTAAAGAGGAAGAATTTATCGAAACGAAGATTCTTTGTTCACTAGTCTCAATGCTTATTATTATTATTATTATTCATGAATAAGGCATTAAGAAGAGAAATTTCGCGAGATGATATCATTTCGTAGTTTCTTTACAACCGCTTTACAACTAACATGGTTAACAATAATAAAATAAAGCTCATGAAAATTACTCAGTGAAATAAAAAACCAAAAGTACATACTAATGACCAATCATATTTAAAAGGTCATGTTGTCCATAGTAGGCGAAGATTGAAGTCTATTGGTTTTTGTACACACGGCTTAGGCTGTATGTGATTAATCTCTCAGAGTGCTTCCATCACCTTCAATAAACAACCTTGAATTAGAGATGTGTAATGAGATAATTGTGAAACAGTCATTAATATTGATTTTGTGACCACATATTATTAAGTGTTTTTGCAATGGATGATGCTGGATTTCTATTCAGATTAATCGCATTGGGATTTTGTATATGATTTAGTAGCCATTTTGGAACATGTTCTTTTCGACGACATTGGAACATTCTATTGGTTCTACCTATATAGGTGTCACCGCAGCTGCAGGTGAACTTGTAAATACAGTTTGAAGTAGAGCCCACAGAATTCCGTCCTTTAATCGTAGGTACAGGGATGGAAAATGTTCGGGATGTGACAAAAAGAGATGTGGTGGCGTAGAATATGCGTTTGATGGCTGAGCGAAGTCTTTGAGCTAACTGTCAACTGCATAATCTGGTCGCCCTTGAATGGTAAGTTAATAAAGATAGCTTTCTTTGGTACAGAAGCTGTCTTTTCGAGATGTGGTCTTTCTTTACTGTGACAAGTGATAAAGTTTTCCGGATAACCATTAGCTGATAAAACTGAATGTATATGTTGAAACTCATCGACCAATGTATCACTCGTGCATATTTTTTGGGCCCTTGAGAACAAACATTTCACCAAAGAACGTTTATGCTGGATAGGAACAAAACTGGTAAAATGAAGATATTGTCCACTCCATGTCTGTTCACGAAAAATAGATCGTTGAATCGTTCCGTTATCTCTCCTGGTGGATCTAATATTTTCTTCTTAATGCCTTATTCAAATTTATCAAAGGACTAATTGTTTTAATATTATTATTCTCATTGCAATTTCTGATTTCTTTTACTTTATTTCATATTCAAGTGATCTTCATAAGTCGCCAACAACGTTAATCAATAAAAAATCTAATGAAAAAGTAACACAACTTGATTTTATTGATCTATTAAAATCTCAGTCCATGATAACAATAATCAATAAAGATCAATTATCCAATAGAAAAGAGAATAACAATGTACGTGAACAGAATTCACCGAATAAGGGTAAAACCAAAGTACAGCATTGTCCTAGTAAGCATACTATAGGCAATACAATGAAGTCCCTTGACAAGATAAAAGAAACACCGATACAACAATTAGATGGTATTAAAGTTTATCCTGTTACGAGTACTTCTACTACTAACATGAAGTCTACCAGTAGTACAAGGCAACCAACTGAATTAAATGATCAACGGAATTACAGGCGAACAAATCATAGTCAGTACAATACAATATATTCAAATAAAAGAATGATGAGTCAAATCAACTTAAAAAATTCTACATCGAACAGGTTAAGAAATAAACCAATACATCGAGGAATGAAAAATGAAAGATTAACAGCTAAACATCAGCGAAGTCAGCACAATAATACAGGGATGCAGTCAACTAGTTCAACGGAGAAGTTGATTGCTACAAATTCTATAGATGAAATATTGACAATGCCACCAGCTCCACCAACCCCGTTAGTAAAATCAACAACAACAACAAAAACAAGGACAAAAATTCCATTTGTCAATCCAGATAAATTGTATCCATGCCCATCGGTCAAGTCAAAGCAACCGGATAAGTGGAGATCACGATTATTTGAAGCTGATCATAGAAATGATCACCTAATGCCTAGAGCTTTATCATCAAATGATTCACAGTATCATCGAAGTATTTCAAGATGTGAAGATTTATTAAGTCATGTTATGAAAAATGCTCCTAGACAAATTGACGGTTCACTGTCTAATATCAAGCGTACTACAGCAAAACTAACCTCAAGTTACTCTGATAATGATCAACAAAAGAATGCAACTCAAAATGTTACACTGAATGATTCAAGGCGCCAATTAAAACATAAATTATCTACACTCCAAGGTCATCAACAAGATAATGATGCTGATGGCGGTCATGTTGGTGAACAGTTAGCATCTTCAACGACTTTTGCTCAAACGAAACCAAACGACCACCGTGATCAACATCTTCATCAACAAGAAAATCAACAATATGTAAGAAATAATAGTACAAAAAATATTTCAGACAAAACGAATAATTATTCTGAGACAGTTTATGGTAGATGGTTTGATGTGAATGATGATTACATAATTGAAATTGATCCAATGACATTTCATAAAGTTTTTGAGGGTCCTGAATGTGCATATATGCTATTCTATCGTTTACGTAGTCTACCAATGCCAATTTAGTGAAAAAGAACATATATATATATATATATATTTAAATCACATGTTTATTTATGTTCAATATTCAATTTGTTCAATTAAATTGAATAGTAAGTAACTGATTTCAACGAGTGTTGGTTGTGTCAACCGAACGTTGTTACTACTAATGAGAACATTAACAGTAGTAAACTGAATTTATCCTGAGTTCCACACAAATCGTTTTGATATTATCATCGGTTTGTTTTAATGCATACTTTTGATTTGTTGATAAAGTACAACGACCTTGAAATTTAAGTCTAGCGGTAGTTAAATTCTGTTGTTTAACACTACGTTTTGTTTGTATTCATCAACCTTTTCATTGTATTGTATTGCTTCCTTTTTCATCTATTTTGGTTAAAAAAATAGAAACGATTAAATGATCATGGAGTGGTGTTGAGAATATTTCTTTTTATTGATATGATAATGTTTGCTAGCGTTTTATTACTCGTGTTGGTTAGCACAAAATAGTGAGTAATAAGGTGGTTAGGCGTGAAGTATTAAATGTGAGGGGAGAGTCATTCTCTGACCTTATGAATCTTCATAGATTTAGATGGATAGGATATGTGTAGCATATGTCAAGTCTTCGTTTCCTTCATCGAGTAACGTCGGCCTTTGAATTACTAGTCCGGTGAACCACCAGCTTAGTCTAGAAACTGCTAGTCCGATTCCTCTCTCTCTCTCTCTCAATCCAGAATTTCCCCTTACTCTGAATAATCGTTTATATCGTCAGTAACAGTTTGCAGATCCCGAGACTACCTCAGATGGTCTAAACATCAAATATTAACTTGTTAAATGTACAGTTATTGGTTAAGTTAAACCATCTCAAACCATGGGATGTGAACGCATGAGTGATCTATAGCCGACCAGTCAGGAAAATCAGTGTTTCCTACTCACAAGAATTGCATGAAGACACATTAAAAAGGATAATTTTCGCTGACATGACTTAAAAATATGTCTCAATCTTAATGAAGAGTGTCAGTTTTTAAGTTGAACCAGTTTCTCTATATGTATTTAGGAAGGGTATACAAATTGAATAGACAAAATGAAAAAAAATTGGTACAGCTAAAATATGATTGGGGATTACCATTCTTTAGCATAGAGGGATTAAGACCACGAAAGTTGGAGGGGTTGAACGAACTTCTTCTGTACACAGAAATCTGGCTTTTCTGTTTCGATAGCTAAAGCTTCAGCAATACAGATGAGTCGGGTACGTAGTGATTTGGGTAGGTTACTTTTTCCTTGTAGATGACTTTAAAGGTGGAGGCTATAGAAGTAAGGTGATCATTATAGACCAGATGTACAATGATCACGCTTCTTATTACTTCACTTCCACCTCTTCGTAACTGTCATGCTGGATAGTGTCCTTGCACCCTCTTGGACGAAATTCGAGTCCAACGGCCGATATACCTAGCTCTACACGAGCAGGTGAATTGATAACACACACATAGAGTTGGTCAACAGCTGGATCTTGTCCTTCAGGTTATTAAACAGTGATGGTCAACTGGTAAAGGCTATTCTCAAAGATGCAGCAGAGAATTTTCTTTTCAGGGACTGTGATATCCTTCGTTTCATGATTTTTTTACAACGTTAAATTCTATGCTATCAAATTTCACACAATATTACGTAACGTTTTCATTTTATTCGATTTGTCTACTAATCCTGTAATTGCACACCCTTTTACAAGTTCTGTCCATCCTATGAACTATTCCATATATGACATTAATTTGATTTGCCACTTGACATTTAACTATGATTATAATCACAAACATTTTAGTTTTAATTGCATTTCATACTACTATTATTATTATCTTATGCATTCACATCTATGATTGAATTCCCTCACCGGATGTAACTTCTTAAAAACCAAATAAATACGATTGTACAGCTTGATGATAAATTCGTTGAAAGTTATTCTGTCACATCTTTGTGACTATTTCTTTGAAGGTCAGACCACATATCTGTGAATCGTATCTGCATATGCAAAGTCTGCTGTCATTGTTTGTTATGTTAGTGTTTGTTCTTTTCTCATGACCAAGATCTGGGATGTAAATTGGTGTCTACGAATTTTGCTAGCAGACAGCGCTCACCACATCATAAATTTTTAATACCCAAACGTTGTTTGCCTTAGTGCGACCGCGGTTATGTTTCTTTCCTATGAGAACTGTTTTATCGATGTGAACAATAACACCAGCTTCTCCCAACAGCTGCGTGACAGTATTCATCTTCCACGACGCTATATCTCTAAAATTGTGGAACCATTGCCCAATAGATATCAAGGAATTTTCCGTCTCTATAGCCGTTGATCTCACTCCAGCATTTTATATATCCAGTAATTGGAGATAAAGAGTGTATTCGTCAGTGGCGGTTAACATTCAGAAAAGGAGGTTCTTAGAAAACGATGAACTGAGTGTGTAACTTACCATTACGGATACTTATTTCATACATATATGTCCATCACTTGCTTCTGAACACCGCTAGATGTATACAGAAGTACGACAAAGAACATTTACGACTATGTGACATCAATCCAGTACATAAACATTATGTGAGATACGTGATTCTGATGGAATTTTCACCTCATTTGCTGACTGGCGTTCATAGTGGCGCTATAATAATGGTAAGTTCCTCTCGTTATCCAACCACTAGTATGAGTTCAAGGTCAATGATGCTTTCACACTTCTGAATCGTGATACTTCAACGCCCAGTTACCATGACTGATTGATTTGAGGACACTTCTGTGTAAACTGTATCCAAATACTCATATCGCCCAATCAGTAGTATATGACTTCTGAGGACAAATTATTTGGTGATTAGGTATCCAAAACCGAAGCTTAAATATCACCTCTTGATCTGTTGCTGAGAGAAAGTTATTCACCAGAAAATAACCAACTATGTTCTGATGAATTTGTGATTCGGACTATAGTGAATATTCACTTCATAATGTTGTGGAGCTTTCTGTCTATTAGTGTATTTCTATTACTGGCTTGAATTATCTTCAAGATGGTAGTATGCGTACTAATGTAGACCTTGATGGTAAGACTAGAAGCTATATCCAGTGCTTCATTTCGTTTATTTATGTAGGCTTATAATTTAGTCGCTTACTATTAATGGAAGATGTGAAAAGGTTAACAGTCTCTGAAAATCGGTGTCTGCGTCCTGTCGCTTGTATTATGTGGTATAACAAGATGATTAGTAACAAGATTAGGCGTTAAGTATTTGGTAAAACAAATTAGAGTCAGCCGATAAGGTAATAAGCCTACATCAAATCAGATAGTTGGGATAAGTGTTACGAGTGCCAAGCTAATACATTCCAGGACAAGGAATGTTAGCTGATATAGGATAAGGTTAGAAGAGAGGTTGGGTAGTAGTTAAATCAAAATGTTGAGAACATTTCTTTCCCGCAGTAAATTTAAAACAAACAACAAGTGTGGAAAAAGCAGCAGTATGTAAGTAATTCATAAATTTCCGTAGAAGGACTCGTCAGCTGAGTACTCCTCCACAAACATTGTTATTTATACAATTTTTAGCTTGATCAAAGATTGATGTCAGTTAGAGACGGGGTGGGACTCGATACGAGGACCTTCTGGTTACAACGCAAGCTCGTATACCATTCAGTCACTGGGGCTCGATTCAATGACCAGTGGGTGAATTCTAATTTCTACCAATTCGTGATTTAGCGCGACCACCAGTGACCAGTGAGGTGGATCCAGTCAAGTGTGATGATGGATGTCTCACCAACGACAATGGTTGGGGTCGCTCTAAATCACGAATTGGTAGAAGTTAGAATTCATTCCCTGGTCATTGAATCGGGTCCTAGTGGCTGAATGGTATACGAGCTAGCTTACCTTGTGACCTGGGATGGAACCCGATCTGGTGGGCGCGTACTTCCGATGATTTCCAAACACTAGGATGGAACAGCTGTCCAGTACTCCCTGATGGTTTTCAATGGTTCTCTAACTGATATCAATCCGTGATCAACTCGTAAAAAGCAAAGCCAACTCTTACACACCAAATATAGAAATTACTACTATAATATTATCATTACTTCTATTAGTCGATCTCATCATCAGTTCGCTCCGTCCTTTCTGTGGCTCTGAAACATGGCCAATACGCGTTGAAGACATGAAAAGGTTGACTGCTTTCGATCATAGATGTCTGCGATCTCTGTCTCACGTTAGGTGGTTTCACAAGTTAAGTAATGTTGACGTTAGGCGTAGAGTGTTGGGCAAACAGGGAAGTCAATCGACGAGGCTATAAAGTTACATAGATTGAGATGGCTAGGTCACGTGGTGCCATGCCTAACCACCGCCTCCCCCGACGGGCATTGCTAGCTGATATAGGTGCAGGTTGGAAAAGAGCCAGTGGTGGCCAAACAAAAACATGGCCTCATCAATCCATGAAATCCTTGACAGTTAAACTGAGTCAGGTAGGGAGGGAGATGAAGACTTCCGGGTTGGGGCCCTCGGGACTGACTCTAGGAATCAATGGCTGGAGACAATAGGTGACATGGCTCAAAATCGTTGTCAATGGCTCAAAATCGTTGTCAATGGCTCAGATATATTCAGTCTCTGTAATCTTTCATATTCCTTTCTACCATTACCCATTCTGTTTCACTCTTACACTTGTCAGACTGTATTGATTCTCTTCACTCATCTTCTTGTCTACCTCTGTGTGCTGTTTGGAACGTGACAACTCGAACTGGTGCACTTCGGCGCTAAGTCCTATGTTGAATCCAGACAGACAGACATTAGTCGATCTGATTCGATTTTGTAGAGCATAGTGGATGACCTGCTATATTGCGTATTATTCATTCCGTGCACCGTTAACTAACCAAGCTAGTGGGAACATCATCACTCACTGCGGAATGCGTGTACATCCAGATGAGTAGTCCCAAATGGGAAGAAATGTGCATCCTGGATTCCACTGCTAGTCACTATCCACCGATTAACTTCAATCTGATTAGTGTTTGTACAAACCTTTTTTCT